GACGATAACTCGCACAATGTGAGGGATCTTTATCTTCCTTCTGTATCAATACTATATTCGCCTGTAAAGACTCTCCCCTTATCTCTATCCCGTTCCCCAAGGCGTTCATATAAATCTTCATTTTGGGGATTAAAAGCTCTTTATATTTTTTATAGTATTTGGCCGTATATCCATCCGGACCCGGGCTTTTCCCTCCCGCCATACTTTCTAATGCTATTTTTATTTCCTCTAAAGTTATTTCTGCCTCTAGAGAGTTCCGTTGTGTTTCTCTTAATTTCGGTAGGCCTGCCTCCTCTAGGTATGTCTTTCTTTTCCCTCTATTTACTATTTCTGTTTTCCTAAGCGTATCCTGAGGTATGATATTATACAGCTCATTATAATACTCTTTAAATATTCTAGCAATATCCTTGGTTGAGTGTACAAATTCCCCCTTGGGATTTCTTATTTTCTCGATATAATTTCTATTTTTCTTCTTTCTTAAAGTTCTCATTAAATACTTTCCCGGCCCTATCTCCCCATCTGTACCTTTCCCTTGTTATTTTATTAAAGACTCTTCTTTTTTCCTCCTCCATTACATTCTCTAATTCTTTCTTCTTTATTAACATCTGCATTATCTCCTTAGATCTTTCCCTTTTATGCACCTGTTCAAGATCATATATTTCATTTAGTAATCTATTTATCTTTTCTCTCCTTTCTTTTTTCCTTTTTGCCCCATTGCGATAAGTAGACCTCTGATGTAAACTTTATGTGCTTCCCACACCGTTGCAAACCGACACATCCTCTGTTTCATTCTCTTCAAAAAAACCATTCGATTTCCTTCTCAATTCTTTGACCAATCTCTTCCTCCATGAGAAGTGCCTCATTCAACCGCCATACATAACCTTCTTTCCCTTCCCTACCCCATCTTATCTTCATTGCAACTGGGGCATGATCCGACAGGGTACTTCCTTCAATTTTTGCTTCTGCCACCAACTCTATCATTCGATGTTCTACTAAAATATAATCTAGTCTAGAATAAGTCTCATGAACGTGCGAAAAGAAAGTATAATCTCTCTCCTTCATATTCCTAATTCTCCAGATGTCCACCAACTGACTGAAGTGGTGTCTATCCATGAATCCATACAGATGTTAAAGTCTCCCGCTACTATCATATACCCACTTTTAAAATCCATCAATCTCTTCAACACTTCTCTCATAAACCTCTCCGGCCTCTTATTTGGACTGTATATGTTTCCTATTGTACACTCAATTCCCAGTAATTTTCCTCTCAAAAATAGATACCTTCCCTCCAGATCCGTCAATCTCTCCTCCACCTCAAACCTTATATTCTTTGCGAAGCCTATAGCAACTCCTTTTGTTCTTTTAGTTGGTGAATCCGCATAGAACCATGTTGGAAAATATCTAGTCCTCAGTCTAACCTTCGACTCTATCTCTAGGTGTGTTTCCTGCAAGAATACCACTGAGGCTTTTCTATGTTGAAGTTCTTTAAATAACCTGAATCTCTTTCCTGGACAGCTTAACCCTCTTACATTGTAGGTTATATATTGGATTTCTTCCATCTTACTCTTTTCCTACCTTCTCTCTCTTCCTCCTTCCCTTCCTCTTTCTTGTTCCTATAGAGCGTTTTTATCCTACTACCCTTTTCCCTCCCCCCCTCTCTCAATGCACCCCTCAATCCCTTTCCTCTCCCTCCCCTCCCTCCTCCTCCCTCCCCCCCTCTCCCCCCCCCCCCTCCCCCCTCTTTTTTAGGCCTTCCCTTTGCCTAACCGTCATTTATGGAGATAGCGTCCACCTTTGACTTAATCCTTAGGGCTTCACTCCTCCCGTGGACAGCCTCCCCTCCTTCCGGATCCCCCCCCCTGAACTCCTCTCTACCTGTACTTTCTAAAGAAGAAAAAAGAAAAAAAAAAGGGGTCAGGCTGGAGGAACTAGGGAGAGAAAGAAGCGATGGAATGGGAGCAAGGAAAGAGAGGGAAAAAAAAAACAAAAAAACACAATTCTCTCCTCTTCACTCACCCTCCCCCCCCTCCTCCCCTCCCCCCCCCTCCTCCACCCCTCCCCTCTCCTTGATCTACTTCCCCCAGATTCTTCTTCCCAACCATTTATTTCAATTTTCTGCATTTCAAGTCTATCACAAAAATTTCTCAAGTCCTCTGGGAACCTCAAATGGGCTGTTATTCCATTTTTCCATCCTATTAAAGTCTCCGGAACTCCCCATCTATATTGCACCTTCTGTTTTTTTCATCTGCTCCAGCAAAGGCCTCAGAGTTCTCCTCGTCTGGAGAGTCTCTAGTGACAAGTCCGCATATATTTGAATATCCATTTTTCCATACTTTATAACTGATTTTCCCTTAGTTTTCCTCCAGAGTCTATCCCTTTGCTGTAGATCATAAAATTTTACAAGTATGTCTCTCGGCCTGTCCTTCTCATAATTCCCCTGGAGTTTCCCATTTCTAGAGATTCTTTCTATATTAGTCCTTTCCATTTCAGAGTTTTCCATTATATAGTTCAGTATTTTGCAGACCATCTCTTCCAGTATTTCTCCCTTTAAAGTTTCCGGTACCCCTCTTATCCTTATGTTTCTCCTTCTTTCTCTATTCTCTTGAATTTCCGCCTTATACTGCAATGTTTCCTGAACTTTTTCCATGTTAATTATCTTCTTCTCTAATTCGGAAATAATCTGGGTCTGATTTTTTAACTTTCTGCTCCGTTTCTTCCACTCTTAACAACAACTGCCCCAGGTCATTCCGAATATTTACCATTTCTTGCTTTCTTGTTCTCTCCAGATCTTTAAACATTTCTGTCATCTCTTTTTTTATTTGGAATTTGTAGATCTTTTTCTATCTCTGATATTTGTTGATTGCTGGTGTCCAATTCTAGTGATTGTTTAGGACTGCTTTGCATACTTAGATCAGATTCTCTATCGTTTCTGCTCTGGTGCCTTTCTGGGGTCACATTTCCCTGGGATGTATACTTTTTAATTGTCCCCGTTTGGGTCCCTTTAGGCCCGGTTCCTTTTGTACTTTTATTTTTCATTTCTTCTGTAACTTTTATTTTCTTCTCATAGACTTATACTTTACAAAACAAGGGAATTAATAAGGTGTAGAGGTAGAATTCCCAGCTCTATCTTCCCATCTCTCTTTGCTCTTTTGGCTGCACCTTGCGCTCTTCTCCTTATTTTTATTGTTATTCTCTGGGGGTCCCCCCCTTTTCTCTCTCTCCCAGCTCTATACGGTTTGTTTGTTTTTTTATTTTTATAATTGGGGCCTCCGCCAGTCTCACTCACCCATCCTGCGCTTCTTGTGAGACAGCTCCACTCTCCAGCTTCCTCGATAGGTTAGCTCTCTTCCTCTCAGGGGGACTCTCCAGGACTTCCTCCACTCTCTTCTGCCTTGTTGGTTGGGGAGGCCCACCATCAATCCCCTGCCAGGGCTCCAGAGGTAGCAGGTCGTCCGACAGAACAGGGATCTCTCCTGCTCTCTGTCAGCCTCCGGCCGGGCGGCCGGCTTCCTTGCCTCCCAGGGATGCACCGCGGCCTGTCACATGTCCCGGCCGTGCCTCCTTGTTTCCCGGCGACCCGGCTCGGCGTCCAGGCTCCGCGTCCCCTCCTCTCTTACCGCAGGCAGCCGTTTCAGCAACAGAAGCCAGTAAACCGAAGCCAGTAAACCCCCCGGTCAAGGTAGGTCTCTGGCTTCTAAGGCTCCATCTCCGTGGGGGGGAATTTTTAAAGTTCAAGGGGGGGTAGGTCGGAGGAGCCTCGTGCGGGAGCTCCTACCGCGAGCTCTCCGCCGCCGCCATGGTCAGGCTCCGCCCCACCCGTCTGTAAACAGCTTTGTGACCATAGGTCTTCTGTGCTCTGGTCACCAGAAACGCTGTAGTCCTAAAGGTTTTTAATTTTTTTCTTTTCTTTTCAATTTGAACAATTACAGAATACCTGTGTACAGTGTAGTGGCTTTTCATTTGCCGTCCCTTGGCAGCAAGGGGCAGAGAGTTCAATTTTTAGCATCTATATCTTTTGCAACACTGTTCTGTGATCACCAGTGAAATGACAGTGATCACTCGCTGAGTCCAGATGTTTGCCTTGCAGCATTTTCACTCTTATCGCAGTTGTCAGAACAGTTTGGAATCTATCCAGTGCACATAAATATTACACATGAAAGGATTTGTGCTTCCATGGACACGTGTATTTTAAACTGCTGCTGAGTGAGGGGGCGCAGTGCTGCATCCTGATGCAGAACAAATTCAGGTGTAGATTTATGCCAGGGGTGTCAAACTGGCGGCCCTCCAGCTTTTGCAAAACTACAAGTCCCATCATGCCTCAGCCTTTAGGAGTCATGCTTGTAACTGGTCAGTCTTGGAATGCCTTATGGGACTTGTTTTTGGCAACAGCTGGAGGGCCGCCAGTTTTGACACCTGTGATTTATGCTAATTGAAATGAACCTGTATTCTATGTTCCATTTTGTAGGGATTCATTCAGAGACTTTGATAGGTGTGCAAGTGTGTGCATTAACTTACATAGTTAGGAAGTCCTTTAAAGTAGATCTAAACTCTTTCAATCAACATTATAGCAGTATTAAACTCAAAAGCAAACATTTATTATATTGCAACTTACCAATTCTTAGATGTGGTGGCTACATTAGTTTTCTTTTTTAGGCTCTGTCTTTCTTTTATTTTCATCTGGTGATGTAGCCAGTAAGTCTGTTGCTTTTCAACAGAACAAGCTCTCCTACAAATGTATCAGTTAAAACGGTAGTAAACACCACTTAGTGACTTTTACCTACAAGGAATATCTCCTAAAAAGTTTACCGTTTTGGGGAGATTCACTATTTCTGCAGCCGGGGATGTCACCAATGCATTAGCACTGTGCTTAAAGCAATACAAAGAGAATGGTACTTTTTAACACAAGTACATGGTACAAAAGACACATATCAGGAATACAAAATGGGGTAATATCCTGAAACATCTTTCACATTCCTGATCTTGATTGTGCTCCTTTACAGTGATATTGAGGTCTCCCGTTCCTGTGTGCCGAAGCCCATTTGGAAGATTGCAGAGGAGATTGGTCTGTGCTCAGAAGAAGTGGAGCCCTATGGTCAGACAAAAGCCAAAGTCCTGCTATCGGCGTATAAACGGTTACAAGGACAGCAAGATGGGAAATATGTCGTCGTGACTGGGTATGTGAGATATTTCATTGTACATATAAGTGCTCAAGCCCCTTTTTAATGAGAATATTGGACGATTCATTGTCTGCTTTTTTGTTTTTGCATGCTACTATCATATCGAAAATGAAGAGGTTAGTTATGAAAATTCTCATATGAGAGAATTCAACTTTGGAAGTGATGCAATGTATTGTATTGTATTCTTTTGTTTCTCACCATGCGTGGTCTTGGTCTTCCTATTTTTTTTTTTTGGGTGACTAATGTACTGATTCAGCCCGGGTTCACGTATGTGCGGTATATCTCATGTGATGCGCACAGGAACCACACCGCATTCCTGTACAAATCACATGCGATTTGTGTGCGGTGTGATTGGAGCCATACATCTTGTATGGCTCTATTCGCACCGAACCCTCACCAAAAACGTGCAGGACCCTGTTTTGGGTCCTCACTAGAATTTGGTTGTATAGGTATTCACACCTCTGCAATCCGATTCTGCACATCGCACCACGTTTTGCGGACCGTTTTTGGGGGGTTGTTAACATACACACCCACAGTGGTTCACATGAACTTGGTGCTATTCTGATGCGGTGCGGAATTCGCACTGAAAACGCTGCAAATTCCGCACCGCATCTGTATGACCCAGGGTTAAACAAAAATTGTTTGTTCTGGTATCCTACGAGAATTTTTTTGCATTTGTCCTTATGGATATTGTTGCATGAACTGTTGTGATCGGTTCTGGAAAGCTGTGTACTAACTATCAGATTATTGGACGATTGTTCCTGATAAGGAATTTTTTGTACGATTTTCTTATCCTGTGTACGGGCCTTTAGGGTTATTTTTAACAAGTGAGCTAAGGATTGCCTGGAACAATGTCCTGGTCTTCCTGATACCCAACAGCAAGAAGCAGAGTGAGACAGATTTGAAAAAGAAAGCCGTGTATAGACATTACTGCTTTGCTGATAGATCATTATTTGACAGTAATCATCAGCTAGCGACCTCTGTATTTTGTGTCTAAACCACAGTAAGTATTGATGTAAGCAGCAGCCTGGCCATAGAAAAGCTGTAGTACATGTAATGTGGTTATTTCTATTCAGTCTTTCTTTCAAAGAAGTGAAGATGGGAAGTAAGGGGCTAATCAAAAAGCAGTGGTTTAGCCACACTGCTACTAAAAGTAAAAAAATAAAAAAGCACCCTACATTTATAAAACTGTGTTACGCCAGGATCAGAGAGAACTCCGTGGGACTTTGCTGGCTGCACACTGTGCCCCAATTTTTGTGAATAGATGAGCCACAGTGTATGTATCATAGGGGAAGATAGAGTGCAGATAGTGATACCCTTTCTTTTATAACTGGGCTATATATATATATATATATATATATATATATATATATATATATATATATATATATATTAAAATTGGATTGCTGCACCTAAACTTTTATTCTTGAAAAATCACCATAGAAAAGGGTGATCCAAAAAAAAAATTGGACAAAAAACATAGTGTTGAACACTATGATGTATGGTTTTGTCCATTTTTTTTTTTTTGGATCACCCTCTTGTATGGTGATTTTTCAAGAATAAAAGTCTATGTGCAGCAATCCAATTTTTATATATATATCCTTTGGGAGGGCCTGATTGCCATGCAATGTGATTGATCATCATTGTGCACTCCACCCATTATATATATATATATATAATATATAATATAGTGTGTGTATGTATGTGTGTGTGTGTGTATATATGTGTGTGTATATATATATATATATATATACACACACACACACTATATTATATATATATATGTATATTAAATAAACCTGTTCCTTATGCTCCATTGGATCATGGCTGTGTTTGTGATGAGTTTGCCTAAATCGCTGACAAGTAATATAACACACCCTTATCTTTCATATAATTCTACCACACTTGAGATGTAGCCTATAAACAAAGCAGTTAATGTATTATGGAGATTGGTATAATGCAACGAAAACATAATCCATGTGAAGCATTATTGGTTACTATGCACAGCTGTACTAGATTTTGTGTGCACCAGTTTTAGGTTAGGTTCACACTTGCTGCCCGCAGTCTGCAGGATGGTTGCAGGTGTAGGAATCGCCAGTTCCTGCATCCACCCGCAGCCAAATCACACTGCTGTTATGAGAAACATTGAATTGCCATTAGTTCTGAATGGCACCCCCATGCAACTCTACCCGCAGCACGTTTTGAGGGTGTGAAACCCCATGGAAACCACGTGGTCAAAAAGACAATGTGGTTTCCCTGCGGCTGCTTTTTAAAAAAGGCGCAAGCACTTTTTTTCTGCAGGAGATGTGGGCACAACAGCCCATTCAAATGAATGGGCTGCCATGCCTGAGCAAAAAAATTGGCCCGCAGTAGTGTGAACCTAGGTATATTCAAGTGAAAAACTGGGTGTTAAGACAGACAAAAAGTGCTCCAAACCACCACCAACCAGTGTGACACACTCCTTACCGAGTGTTTGGATCCCACAAAGAAATCGCCATACGCTCAAACTGCACTGTGGATGCCCCAGTTAACACATCGCTGTCTGCAGAGTGTTCCTGAAGTGCAACTCACAATAGACATATAAAAGGAAAAGGAAGGATACATCCCATAGTGCAGTATCTTAGATTAAAATGATCCAATTTATTAAAAACGCACTTACAGAGGTACAAGCAATGACAGCAAATGAGTACAGCATCACCCGAGGTATGATGACGTCACGTATCTGGTACCACCCAACACTTTTCTCCTACACAGACATCATCAGGGGAAGAGGCTGACATAAACCAGATTCTCTGTACAGAGGTATGGGTCTGTGTGATTGAGACCTTTATGGGTGCATTCACATCTGCGAATGCACCTTGCCTGTGATAAGATGCTAGAATCCCACCATGATTAGCTGCAAGTAGGCAACCCCATTGAAAGCAATGGGAGGCTACCATCTCTTTCAAGCACCAATCACAATGCAGACTGCCTGTGTCCATCTTCACATGTGATCGATGCATGAGCAGTTTACATGCAAGTGGTTGTGATTAGCATTGGGAGATGGCAGCCTACCATTAGCTGCCTCTTGCAGCTAATCGCAGGAACACCCACTGGGGTTCTCTCATCTAATTGCAGACCTGTGAATGCACCCTATAAACTGATACATTTACAGCACAGACTTCTATAAGGGCTAGAGCGTGTGCGAAGCAGAGGGAATTACCCAGACATTGTTGTGACATGAAGAGACCCTGGCAATTGTTGAAGAAAATATAATCCAAGAAACTCTCACTTCAAGTCCGGACACTTTCACCCCCTTCCTGCCCAGGCCAATTTTCAGCTTTCAGCGCTATCACACTTTGAATGACAATTGCGCGGTCATGCAACACTGAACCCATATGAATTTTTTAGCTTTTTTTGTTGAGACAGATAAAACTTTATTTTGGTGGTATTTATTCACCACTGGGATTTTTATTTTTCTGCTCTATAAATGAAAAAGTCCAAAAATTTTGAAAAAAAGTGTTTTTCTTATAAAATTTTGCAAATAAAATAAATGTATTCAGCTATCTTTTTAGTAAAAAAAAAAAAAAAAAAAAAGCAAATTAGTTTATAACCAAAAATTGTAATATTTTTTTTAAAATGTTTACGTTTTTATTTTATTAGTTTTTTTTAACATACTGTCACCCTAGAAGTACAGTGTCACCATAGTGACACTGTACTACTTGTGGGGGTGATGAAAATTATTTTTTTTTTTACACTCATTGCTTTTACACCCATAAAGGCTGTAAAAACAATCATTTCTCCTTCTCTCTGGCTGCATTCTTGCAGCCATTGAGAAATTCTGTGAGAGCTGTGATTGGTCACAGCTTGTCACATGGTACCATGTGACCTCTGATCATTCACAGATTTCACTAGTAGTAAGCAATGATGTCAGGAAGTGACATCTTGCTTACTACTATTCATGTATTCACTGATTGGCCAATCAGTGATCACATGATCGGGACTTCACACAGTGGTCCCGTACAGCGATCGGTGTTCTGGTACCATGTGACCTCTGATCATTCACAGATTTCACTAGTAGTAAGCAATGATGTCAGGAAGTGACATCTTGCTTACTACTATTCATGTATTCACTGATTGGCCAATCAGTGATCACATGACCGGGACTTCACACAGTGGTCCCGTACAGCGATCGGTGTTCTGGTACCATGTGACCTCTGATCATTCACAGATTTCACTAGTAGTAAGCAATGATGTCAGGAAGTGACATCTTGCTTACTACTATTCATGTATTCACTGATTGGCCAATCAGTGATCACATGATCGGGACTTCACACAGAGGTCCTGTACAGCGATCGGTGTTCTGTTGTGTCCTCCGGACACAACAGGCACTGGATTGCGGTGCCGCACGCTCACGGGAAGCACGCACAGGCAGGGAATGCGGGAGGACGTTTATAAACAGCCATCCGCTCCTGCACTGCTCCTGTCCGGCTGTTTATGTACATGGACCGGACGGGAAGTGGTTAAAGTTTACAGAAATGGTGAAAAGTGTTTGTGATGTGTTTATACAGCCATCATTATTTGTCTTTGCTGAGAATTTGTAATATTTCTCTTCCTGGGTCCCAGCTCAGTAACATTCTTCTTGGGTTGGGTCCTCAGATTAAAAAGTTGAAAAACCCTGCTTCATGCTGATGGACTTGGTTATCCAGTTGTGGATCTGTTGTTCCTCTTTGGTTTTGTATTTTACTCCTTTTTTTTTTTTTTTTTTTTTATGACGTGTCATCAGTGCATTCGGTTATAAGTTACAGATAAGCTAGGCGAGGGTGAAAAACAGTATTAAGTACTTTGAGCTTCCTGAAAAATACACAGGTCATTCCTCTGAACATGAAAATATTTGTGCTGCCTTTGCCCTGTATATGTATAAAGGGTATATCTACATGGTAGGACTATGCTGCTCTGTCAGATGCTTTTGGTGTCATTGATTTGATTAGATTTTCCTGGTCCACAGAAATCTTATGCTACGTCAGAATTACCTATGGGCTTCCGGTGTACTACAACTGATGAAAAAAAAAAACCATTTTTAATGCAACATAAAATGCACCATATGTGTCTCGTGTTGTATTAGGGCAGATGCGTTGCATGTTACTGTAGTTAAGTATTGGCAGGTTTCTAAATGAATTCCACTACTATGCTCGACCCAAACTGCATGCACTACTGCAACACCTAGGAGTGAAGCCAGCCTTAAAGTGGAACTTCATTCTCTCAATCAATATGTTACTATTTTTAATCCTATTGCTGCTAGCATTACTATATAGATAGGAGTGTATATCATATTCACTTGTTTTAAACAATTTTTTTTTTTTTTACGTTTCTTCATTTTACTTCCTGGTTTCTTGCCTAGGCAAATTATGTCATACATCCCAGGATTCTTCTGGAAGAGAGGAAGGGTTTTCTCAGCTAAGCATGCTCTCCTGCTTTTATGCCTGGACTAGGGGCAGATGGATTCCAGGAAGTCAATGCTACATTTGCCCTTACTCAAGATGGCCACGGCCAGAAATTCTAGGGAGTGTTTTCCCAAGTGATTTCTCAGCAAAATAAAGCTTGGAGACGTGGATGGATGAGTTTGCTTTGAATAGAGGTGTCAGTCACCAGGTCCCGGCCGGCAATTCCCAGCCGGCACTTGGCGATTGTCAGGGAAAACTGATAGGGGAGAGACCTGTGTGTAAACAACACAGGTCTCGCTCCTGTCAGCATGGGCATGCTGTTTTGTATCACAGCAGAGGGCTACAAAACAGCATGTTTCCCTAGTAAAACACAGCACATGATGTAAAACACACACAGCACACAGTTAACCCTTTGATCACTCTAGATGCGAACCCCTTCCTGCCCAGTGCCATTAGTACAGTGTCAGTGCTTTTTATTAGCACAGATCACTGTATTAGTGTCACTGGGGATGTCAGTAGCAGTTCGCGCCCAGTGTCAGAATGCCCCCCGCAGTCCCGCTATAAGTCGCTCATAGCCGCCATTACTAGTAAAAAAAATAAATATTCCAGTACATATACCGCCATTTGTAGACACTATAACTTTCACGTAAACCAATTAATTTACACGTTTTTTGTGTTTTTATTTAGCAAAGACGTAGCAGATTACATTTTGGCCTAATTTTATGAAGAAATTAGATTTTTTACATTTTTTTATTGGATAGGTTTTTTAGCAAAAAGTAAAAAATATTGGGGAGGGGGGGTTCAAAATTCTCGGGGTTTTTTTGTTTATAGTGCAACAAATAAAACTGCAGAGATGATAAATGACCACTGAAAGAAAGCTCTATTTGTGGGGGGGGGGGGGGGGGGAAGGGCATACATTTAATTTATGTATAGTGTTGCATGACCGTGCAATTGTCAGTTAAAGTAACCCAGCGCTGTATCACAAAAAATGGCCTGGTCAGGGGAGGGTAAATCTTCTGGAGGACAAGTGGTTAAAAAGGAATTAAATAGGATTTTTGGTTTGTGGTGCTCAGATGCAGTGCAGTTCCACTTTAAGCAGGCTGTAGATGAGTAGTTTTTATTTTAGTTCAGTATTAATCGGTTCTTTCATCCACACAAAATGAGGTGGATAAAGGGATTTTCCAGGACAGACCGAGCGCTGTCAAATTACATTGTTCAGTGGCTGCAGACACTGATGGACGGAACTTTTTCCAACTTGGACGTTGGAAAATGGCCACACACTGATGCCGGATAGCCACATTCTAAGGTACTGCCACACACTGATCAAAATTCGGCCAGGCCTTGCTGAACCAGCCAAATTTTGATCTGTCTTTGGCCAATTGAAGACGATCCTCTCACATTGCCATCTTTATAACTGATAGTCATATGCTGCACTCATCTACAAGTTGCTTCAGGCTCCCATTGCCTGGCATTCCTGACATTGAGCCACAGCTGTGTGAGGTTTGTGAATCACAAGAGCGGCTGAACAGAATTATACATTTTTACAAAACACTGAATATGTGCATTTTAAATTGGTATTTAGCTGTGTGCGTATAGTTTCATTGTAAGGTTTAAATTATCCAGGCTGGGCAATAAATCGCTGCCTTCAGGAATTTGGTGAATGAAACTCCCTTGTGTTTGCCTTTCACTCATAGCATTGTTAACATCAAAAGCCATAATTAATGCTATTGTCTCCATGGGCTGGACCAATACTACTATATATAATATTCCATCTGATCCATTAGGTGAGGCTCTGTTCCCTTTCTGCCCCATCATTTGTTTTGTCTGAATGTTGCAGGCTCAACGTACCTGCCTGTCATCTTGTTTGACAAATGGCTTCCCATCCAAAGGCCAGTTGGAGGCTGAAGCTCTAGTGAACATAAGTCTACTTGTCTAATAGATGTGCTTTGTCTGTACAGTATAACACCAACTCCCCTGGGAGAAGGGAAAAGCACTACCACCATTGGACTGGTCCAGGCGCTGGGAGCTCATCTGAAACTCAATGCGTTCGCTTGTGTCAGACAACCTTCTCAAGGACCAACATTCGGAATCAAAGGCAAGTGGAAAGGACATCTTCACTTCTAAACCAGCCATACATAAAGTGAAATTTGATGAGTTCAGCAGGGACTGGCCAAATGTCGATCCATTTATGGGCAGAGTGGTTGTACAACCAAAATTCCTCCCAGCTCACTTACCAGCCTGCAACAAAACCGAATTGCCTGTCTAGCAGTGGCTACATCAAGGCATCTCAGTGTACTGCAGTCATAGCTCTATATTCTGAGTTTCCCAAAGTGGAACGCAGATATCAGTGGATAAACTAAGGGCAGGTGTGCCTGGAGGGAGCCCACTGCAGCTTGCACATATATTTGCAATCTGGTCTCCTCCTCCCATGCCCGCTTCCAAGATTTCTCCAGGACATCACCTATCCTCTGGAACTCCCTACTCCAATCCATCAGACTATCACCTACTCTCCTCTCATTTAGGTGCACCCTGGAAACCCACCTCTTCAGAGAAGCTTACCCCACCCCCTGCTAATTCCCGACCTCCTCCACTCTTCCTACCACTCCATCCCCCACAGCTATCTCCTCCTGTACCACCATCCCCTCCCTCCTAGATTGTAAGCTCGAAAGAGCAGGGCCCTCGAACCCCTCGTGTATCACATTGTATTGTGTTCGTACTGTCGCATGTTCTGTCCTCCATTGTAATGTACAGCGCTGAGCGAGCTGTTGGCGCTTTATAAATACTGTATAATAATTTGCAAATGTGTGTGACTAAACTCCTCATTTTTAATGTGAACTGTTAGGATCAATTCGGTTTTTGTTGCGGGTTGGCTGGTAAGTGAGCTGGGAATTTTTATTAGTTTTTGATATGTGTTGCTCTTCCATGTGCTCCTTTCTGCAAAGGCTAGTTGTAGGTTACCATTTGTTGGTATGGTTGTACAACCGCCCTGTCAGGTTTTTGTCGCTCGATCAGCACTGGTTAGTGTATTCTGATATGGTTTGGAAGTTTCCCTGCTGTCAGAATACAAAAGCTCAGCAGGAGGGATTCCCACATCCACCTCGAATGTGTGGATGGGGGAATCAAGTCAATTTTTTTTTTTTTTTTTCCCCATCCCGCTGGTTAAATGAAAAACAATGATTCCTGTATGGGCTACCTTAGTTTGATTTTAGGCAGTTTTCATAACAACTGCTTTGATACATAAGCAACTGACTCCTTCACCAGCCAGACAAAGAATGCCAATTTCTTTTTGGTTATTGCTTGTTTATAGGAGGAGCTGCAGGAGGAGGATACTCTCAAGTTATCCCCATGGAAGAGGTAAATGTCTATTGTCCACTGTGTCAGTTTTGTTTAGTAGTGTAGAGTAACATAACTGTTTGTTGCCAATGTCTAAAAAACCAGCTGCTATCAGCTACTTAACGTTGACAATCTGACCTTTGTGATAAAATTGTCAATATGTTCAGAAAATTGGCCTCAATTCAGAATATGAGCAGCTTTTCTGAAAACTGTTTATCCTTCCCGTTGTTTGTGCTGGTGATATAACCAGTTTTGCACAGATCATCATCAGACATCTATACTCATCTAAGTGGATGCAGCATCGGTCTCCCACCGCCTCTGAGACCGAGAAATCAAAGACTTGATCGCTCAGTTCACAGTCTTCAGTGAGCAGAGAGCCAGTGATTGTCATTCACTTCTCTGTTGTCTGCCCCTCCAGCTCTCACTAGTGCACTGGGTTGTGGAGGAGGTGGGAGCAACTAGCTCCACTCAACAGCGTGCAGAGGGGCTGAGCCAGCTGCCGGTCCAGGCATCTGGATGAATCCCGACATTAAAGTTGGGTTCTCTCCGGAGTATGGATCAGGTGAATGACTTGACAGCCGACAGCTGCTAAATCTGGGTCACAGGAGTGCAGAACTAAGTGCACTTCTGTGACCCACAAGAGAAGTAGGCCCAAAAGAGCTTTGGCCCTACTTCTCCTTTAAATCCAACCTCTTTTAGTTTTTGTAGTCTTAAACACAAGGCTAGCCAATTATCATAAAAGTCTGAAAAATTATATTGCACAAAAAAAAGCATCCTGTCTGTGTCTTGCTGAATCCTTATGTGCTGTAACAGCAGCCAATTAGAATGTACTCTTCTAAAGGTAGAGCAGTTCATGAGTGATTTTGATTGGTTGACTGCAAATAAGAATTTGCCTCATGTTCTGTTATTGGAATGTAGTGATGTTGGAGTTGTTTATAGGTTACTATAAGTCATCGCCAAGGTCTGATTTTTTTCACATTTCAAAAAATTTCAACTTTAGGCATAAATGGGTTAAAGTGTATTTAAAAATAAACAACTTTTCTTCTTTGCTTTCTTTTACGCTGTTATTTTTTTTTTTAAGCATGTTGGTATATCTATTCGATAAATGCAAAACAAAATCTGTTGATCCAGCCCAAAGTCCAGTGAGCTGATATCTTCCTGTAAGGAGATGACAACCTCAAACATTATCATTCCTGTTGGAATTCTCTAAAGCAAGCCATAGATGGATCAAAGCCATCGATGGACAGGCTGCTTGTACTAAAGTCGATTCATCAATTGGCTTCAATACAACCAGCCCGTCAGATTTGTTTCATGCGATCACTGCAAGCGGCTGTATCTGCCAGCAGTTGTTGACATTGTTTTCTGCTGGCAGGGAAGGCACCCCGTGAGCAGAACAAAATTGATGGGGAAATTGGCAGCAATGGGTTTAATGGAAAAATAAACCTGATTCCCTATCCACAGATTCAGAGTGAATAGGGAAATCACTTCCTCTGAGCCTTTGTATTCTGGCAGCGGGGTGGCTTCCTCATCATCAGAATACTCTAGTCAGCACTGCTGGCTATAGCCAGGGCTGCTGATCATGTGGAAATTTTCCAACAGGCTTCGGTATCACCAGCCTGCCCATACATGGATCAAAATTCAGCCAGGCCCTGCTGTCTTGGACCAATTTTGATCCATTTATGGCCGGCTTAAAAAAACGCCTCTCTGCTCTGTTATAGCAATAGAGAGAGGAAGAAGTGTTCTGGAGTCCCAGCATACTTCCTGTCCTGGGATGACAACACTTTTACATAGATATAGTATTGTGAGTGAGTGTTGTCACCCTAAGACAGAAAGTGTGTTACTGGCAGGATCACCATTTCACAATAAAGGAAAAAAAAAAAAGAGATACAGCCACTACATCTAAGGATTGGCAAGCTGCAGTATATTACAGTTTTTTTCTTGGGCTTAGATACACTTAAAGAATAAGAACTATTTATCTGCTAGGTGTAGATAATATTGGTTTGGTCCAAACCTTGTCTCATCTCACACTCATTAAATGTATCTTGTTTTTTTCCAGTTTAACCTGCATCTTACAGGGGACATTCACGCCATCACCGCAGCTAACAATCTGGTGGCTGCTGCTATTGACGCACGTATCTTTCATGAGCTGACGCAGTCCGACAAGGTGAGAACCCATTTCAAGTTTGTTTCTGAAGCAATTAAAAATCCCCACGCATCTTATTCCCAAGATTTCTCCTTGACAACCCACCGTACTTTAACATTCTTCATAACATTAATAAAGTGATTGAGGCGCAGTCAGTAGCAGGAAGATTGAGAGCGCTGAGCCGTGTACATCAATCATCCAATTATCCATGACCCAGGAGTTTTAAACAGTGACTAAATGAGTTATCTGTGACTGTGCTGTACAGATGAGGCCATATAAGGTGACTTTGTGGCCGATTTCAAGCAGCATTACAAAAAAAGTCCTGCGGTGCTGTACAATTTGGCCACTCCCATTATGTATATGGCAGACGTAGAGTGCTGCTCAACCACTTGCCCTCCAGAGGATTTACCCCCTTTCCTGGCCCGGCCATTTTATGCTATACGACGCTGTGTTACCTTAACTACGCGGTCTTGCAAATCTGCACCCAAATGAAATTTTATGTCCTTTTTTTCACACGAGTGGAGCTTTCGTCCGGTGGTATTTGATCGCCTCTGTGGTTTTATTTTTTGCACTATAAACAAAAAAAGACCGCCAATTTAGGGAAAAAAGCAATATTTGCTATAAAACATATCCAGTAAAAAATTTTAAAAATCTAATTTCGTCATGAATTTAGGCAAAAAATGATCCTGCTACATGTCTTTGCTGAAAAAAAAAAATCCCATTACGTGTAAATTAATTGGTTTACGTAAAAGTTATAGCATTTACAAATGGCGGTATAGTTACTGGAATTTTTTTTAATTTATTTATATTTTATACTAATAATGGCGGCGATCAGCGACTTATTGCAAGACTGTGGCGGGCATTCTGACCCTGGGGGGGGGAATGACTAACTGTCACTGACATCCCCAGTGACACTAATACAGTAATCAGTGCTAATAAAAAGCACTGACACTGTACTAATGACACTGGGCAAGGAGGGGTTAACATCTGGGGCGATCAAAGGGTTAACTGTGCTGTGTTTTACTGTGTAAGCACCATGGGCGGACTGACAACTCATGGGGCCCCCGGGCAATAGGGGATCATGGGGCCCCTGTGTCCTTGCCCAAACTCAAAAAAAGCCTATAAAAAAGTACCAGGGGCATATCATGGGGCCCCCTACTGACCCCGGGACCCCGAGTTTCCAAATGGTCAGTCCGCCCCTGGTAAGCACTCTGCTTTGTATTGCTCTGCTGTGCAGAGCAATACAAAGCAGAATGCTGGAGCTGCAGATCTGTGTTGTTTACATACAGACCTATCCCCCGTCGGTGTTCCTTGGCTGTCACCGGGTGCCGGCGGGGAATCTCCAGCCGGGACCTGGTGATTGACAGTTGTAGCCGCCAATGGCGGCGCGGGTATGGTCAGAAATACAAAATCATGTGTGTTTATATACGTGATTTTGCACAGCCCTGCCGCCCTGTAGCAGTAGTTCTGCTATAGGGCGGTCAGGAAGTGGTTAACAGGTCGTCTGAGCCCCAGCTGGATGCACTGGTCTGTTTTATTTCCAGCTTTGTACTGTGCTGAGCTGAACAGCTAAAGCACATAACCACAGTGGGACTGCTGCCTTCCCACATAATAGCTAGCAGGGTAGATGATGCAGTTTTATTGAGGGCAGCACAGTGCAGGAAAACTTTAAGTGGCCTCTTAAAGCGGGAAACCCAAAAAGGAATGTTCCACCCCCTTCCACCTTTTCTTCCCACCTCCAAACATTGGAAGTGGGTACCTAGAATTTACAGGTGAGCGGGAGTTCGCCCCCATCTCCTCTTTCCCCACAACTATCTGGGGCACGTCACAGGTCAGTATTTATGGATCTCATGGAAGTATTTACACAGATTCTGTACTCTCTTGCATGCTGTACTGCCCCTTACAGCCATGTGCATGTTCCCCCTTGGCATTAACTGCAAAGACTTCATCTTCCTGCCTGCATCTCTAACACAATCCAGTTGTCTTTTAGGCCCTTTACAGCCGCCTAGTCCCATCCAACAATGGAGTACGCAGATTTTCAGACATACAGATGCGGAGGCTTAAGGTAAGGCTGTTCTGTATGAAATCCGTCGGGGGCAAAGGATGAAGTGGCTGCAGGAATCTATTCCTGTGAGAGTATTTGCCCAGTAGAGGGATGTGTTTTAGTCCCTTGCAATCACCTTTAATATGCCAGGGTTGACATGGTACTGGGATTATAAACTGACTTGCACTGATTTTCCTGTAAGCTATTTTAGTTAAGGTCCTCTCTTTTGCTTCATTGATGTTACATTATACTTAGGGGTTGATTTACTAAAGGCAGATAGACTGTGCACTCCGCAAGCGCAGATGCTCCAGAGCTTAGTAAACTAGAAAAGCTACAATTTCTGGGGAAATTGTGTGAAGTGTTCTTGCCTCCACCAGTAGTCTACAACTGGAGTGGGCAGAGTAAATGGGTGGAGTGGCTTGAGTAACTGTGAAAAGGTCTGAAATATTAAAAATGAAGGCACAGTCGCAGTTTAGAAATTGCCCTTCAAATTTGAGGTGGCTAGAGTGCAGTTTCAATGAATGTCAATGGGTGGTGTGAGTTGCAAACAAATGGTCATATTGTGAAAACTATCAGGACTATGGCTTAGCCGTGGACATTTTTAGTGGCAGCAGGGATAGCTGAACGTTTTGATATAAGATTTGTGTAGGTGGGCTTGAAAATGAGGGAGTGATGGCAGTTTAGAAATCATGTCCAGATTTTTCAGCTCACACTCTAGCGTTTGTCAGCTCCCACTCTAGTTTTGAACATTCCGCCATTCATTCCTATGGGACCAATTTCACCACAAAAACGCTGATATTTCGTGAACCATTCGGCGAAACGTTCCACAAAGTAATAGCACACCAATCGGGAACAGTCCGCATGTTTCGGTATATTACTGTCTATGTAGTGTAAATACTATGGGAGGAGTTAGGGTGGTAAATTTGGCTATAATAATAAGAATATATATGTGAGATAACAGTAAGTGGTCGCTATGCAAGAACACTTAATGAGCAGAAGCTCCGCTGACTTCCATCATCCAATCATGTGCAAGCAAAAATGCAGGGTTTTTTTTTTCTTATATATTTCCTTGCACATGTTAGGTAATACTTTGCAAAGTGGAGCTTTACCTGATTTCCTAAGGTCTGGAGAAACTTAACTTGCAGAGTGGAATTGCACTTGTCTATTGGCCTTTAGTAAATCAACCCCTTTGTTTTGTAATCACTTGAGATTGAAAAGCATTATGGAATACAAAGAAATCATGTCTGCAGTTTTTCTGCGTCTTTCTTTGGAAATGAGGGTTAAACGTTCTGCTTTTTCTTTTCCATAAGACTTTTTATTAAGTTTAACAGCATAATACAAGTATCAATAAGATATAGAAAAAGAAAAGACAAGAAGAAATCAATGGCATCTAGCAGGTATCGCAATATCACAAATATATGTATCAAATAGCAGGTATGTTTTCCATTATAAAGTGGAGTAAGAAAAGAGGGAAGGACAGCATGTTCTTAATTAAAGGTCAGGAAATGGGTTAGTGATATCTGTGGAACTAGTCCGACAGCAGCTGACAACAAAATCCAGAAGTTTTTTACAGCTTGTCTGAGCGTTCAGAAAGGTGGTGGAGAGTTGGAGTTGCACTCTGCAGAGTTCAGTGAGAGCTGATTGAAAGGAAGGTACACACCCTCTTTCACACAGCACACAGTAACAGACCTGAGGCTGTCAATCACAGGCTGTGTGCTGAATCTCTTTCCCCTGTCACCTTTTTTCTCTTTCTGTCAGGAAAAATGTGTCAGAAATGTGCAGATAGCAGAGGAAAAGGCAGCAGACAGAAATTACACTTAGTGCTCTGGACTAAGACAAGTACGCATTATAGAGGGATATGCTTTATTCATATTTCATGTCTGAGGTTTACAACTACTTTAACAAGTGGCCTACCAGCACTAGGTGTGAGGGCCCACTGTACTCCAGACCTCTGATCAGGGCTGCATGCTTAGTGACAGCGGCTAGAGCAGGCTTTAGCCTTGAAACTGCCAGCAGTCAGTGACTGCAATGATCAGCTTCTGAGTAGGGGCACTGTAAAGCAGCACTCACTAGCAGAACACTGTAAACATGTGCAATGTCATGGCCCTTCCTCTTAGTTCTGCCTTCCCTGCAGCCAGTAAGAGATCACTATTAAAAGTGATTTGTTGTTGCAGGGACTGTATTGGGAGCTTGATCAGGTCTCCAGTGACCAGATCCAAAGCTACCATGAAAAGAAAGTTAATAGAAAAAAAAATTATTGAAATGCAAAAATTATTTGCAAATGTAAAAAAAAGGCTGTTAATAAAAAGGCTGCATTCCCCACTAAAAACCAAGGACTTTAGATGTTCTGGAGTGACGTGTGTTTACTGCATTTTGTTGCAAACCCAACTTGATCTTATCTAAGGTGCAATGTGGTACTGTGCATTAAATCGGTAGTAAACCGCAAGAAAAGAAAAAAAAAAAAAAGTCCCTTGCAAGGTAATGTCACAATGTGCTAATACGCATCGCATACTAGCACATATTGTAAAACTTACCCTAAAACGAAGCCCTCCAGGGGCGCAGTCACCCCTACAGAGGCTTCCATGTTCACCTGGTTCTTCCGGGTTTGTGATCTCTAGCCGTCTGACAGGCTGGGCCGCGATGACGTCACTCCCGTGCCGAGCCATGGCACACAGATCTGAAGGAACGGCACGGGGGTATGCCATTTCTTCAAAGCGCATGCATTGGCTTTAGAGAGAATATCTCCTAGACCAGGGGTAGGCAACCTGCGGCTCTCTGTTGTGGAACTACATTTCCCATGAGACATTGCAAAATTGACAGTTACAGCTATGACTTGCAGAGGCATGATGGAACTTGTAGTCCTGCAACAGCTGGAGAGCCGCTGGTTGCCTACCCCTGTAGACGGTGCACATTTCGGAGATATTCACTTTACCTATAGCTAAGCTTTATTTTAAGCTTACCTGTAGGTAGAATTAAAAAAAAAACGGGTTTACTACCACTTTAAAGCAGCCCTTTTTTTTTCTAACTTTAATGGGGTCAGTTTACAGTTAAACTTGATTGTTTGTACATTTAGGTGACTTTAATGTTGATCATTTGACATGGTGTATACATTTTTCATATCTGCGTATACATTTTTATTGTATGTTCATTTAGGTTGTGATTGGTTTACTTTAATAAATGATTGCCAAGAGTATATTTTCCCTTGGAAAACATGTTCCTTGCTCCATATTTATGCTGTTGCTATTTCTGAACAGTTTGTTTTGTCATTTGCCTTTCTAGGAACCTGTTTTTTTGGCGTATTCTCAATCTATACAATATGGTCTTATTTTCTAGTGAAGTTGGCTTTGGATCACTGTTTTCCTGCTGTGAATGTTAATGAGAACAACCTAAAATAGTCTTACAGGCTTGAGAGACAGGAATGATATGATACATGAAAGATGATAAATAGTGAATAATTGTCAGGGAGCAAAGCGCTGTCTGATGGTTATCTAACGGCTCATGGCCTTTCTGAAGCAGAAGGGAGGAGAGTATACATCTACCAAAGCAGATGTATAGTTGATAAAAAAATTGCCCATTGGTTCCCACTGCCGTCAGTCAAATCGTCTGATGAGGGAGCAGGGGGGCGGAGCCAAGCCCTGCTGTCTGTGTTAGGTTCAGGATCAAGCACACAGGTGTACCAGGATAGGAAGCAGCTTTTTACGGTGGCACACTGAGTAGAGGAGGACCGAGGAGCGCCGGCGGGGGGGACCCGAGAAAAGGAGGTTTGGAGCTGCTTCGTGCAATTCCTTTGTATAGAGCAAGTAAGTATAAACCTTTTTGTTATTTAAAAAGAATAAAATGTAACACTTTACAATCCCTTTTAAAGGTTATAAAGATAAACTAATTTGTCAGACATAATCACCCTCTTACCTGTTAATTAAGACCTGAGAGGATGGAAACTATCATCTACTGTATCCCAGCAATCACCCAACTGTTGGAGGTACAAGATGAAGCCCACAAGCAAACGATTTGTGAAAGAAATTGTGAGAATGGACTTTCTCGGCACAGAAACGCGGCCGAGTTTCTGTGGCTAGAAAAAAGTCCATTCTCACAATTTTTTTCACAAATGGTCTATATTTGGACATGGCATTTTTGTATCTATCGGGTGTGACCTTATATCAACTGAGGGTCACCTCACCTTTCTATTACACAAGCAAACTAAATTAGAGCCTTTCCCTTGCAGTGCCACCCTAGTGGCAAAAATGCATATTTTTCTTGTTTGAGAACTGCATTGCAAAGTACAGTGTTACTTGAATTGTATTCCAGTATTTGCTTGACTTCAGCTGAAAGAATTTGCAATAGTTTAGGACTTTACCTAAAGTCTCATAAATCTTTCATTAAGGTCTTCATGGTATTTAGTTTGAATACCATGTCATAAATGTATTATTCTTCATTGTAAAAGAACATATTTCACACTTTTCTTTTTTTTTTTTTGTAAATTTTTCCAGAAGAGAACAAAAAACGGCTTTGGAAAAAACTTTTCCCAATTACGTTTTTTTTCCAGGCCCTCCCATCTCTAATTTCGCGAGCCTCCAAATTTCTGGTCCCATACCAATCCTGAGTAAACTGTAAATCAGTTTCCCCCCTTTCACCAGATCACCCCAGAACCCCTCACCCTGCATGGGTGAGAAACCCTGAGTCCTGTCTCGTTTCCCCCCTTAAAGGGACCACAACCCAAATAATGGGGTAACATACCTGCCGTTCAGGACTCATCTCTGGTGTCATATACAATATACACTCACCGGCCACATTATTAACTACACCTGTTTAATTGCTTGATAACACAAATTGCTAATCTGCCAATCACTTGGCAGCAACTTAGTGCATTTAGGTATGTAGAGGTGGTGAAGACGACTTGCTGAAGTTCAAACCGAGCATCAGAATAGGGAAGAAAAGGGATTTAAGTGACTTTGAATGTGGCATGGTTGGTGCCAGACGGTTGGTCTGAGTATTTATGAAACTGTTGATCTACTGGGATTTTCACAAACAACCATCTCCAGGAAAATCAAGACTCATCAGACCAGGCAACGTTTTTCCAATCTTCTATTGTCCAATTTTGGTGAGCCTGTGTGAATTGTAGCCTATGTTTCCTGTTCTTAGCTGACAGAAGTGGCACCCTGTGTGGTCTTCTGCTGCTGTAACTCATCTGCTTCAAGGTTGGACATGTGCTTTCAGAGATGGCATTCTACATATCTTGGTTGTAACAAGTGGTTATTTGAGTTACTGGTAAATATTAGTCCTCTCCTGCACCCAGGACAATAAACTAACAATGTGACTATGAATGCCTATAATATCAATAACTCAAATCCAATGTGCTCCTACTATAAAGCAGAATTACATAATCCAAAGAAAATATTCACAAAATAATCAAAAGAATAAATAAATACCCGACACAAAATTAAGAGGCTGCAGCTCATATAGGGGTGGTGACCCCCACAAAATGTATATTAAAAATATTATATATGCGCCCCCATGTGCTCTCCTTACAAAACTCACCAACAAATATAAATAAATATCAACATAGTCCTTTGTGACTTGTATACTGGTGAGATCTATAGCTTCCATGTAATAAAGTTCTCTTCATGCAGTCTCCATGCACTGTGATCCCCACCAGTGGTCCCACACCGACTCCTGTGGACTCTAATAATAAAACAAGAGTCAAACTCGCTTTGGTAGAGGAGAATATATGGCTCTGCTGTGACTTGTAGTCCGCCCTCTATGCGGCTGCACTGGCCTGTTTCAATCTATCAGCTGTTGCAGTTCAGTACTCATACATGAGGAATGGAGGAGACAGGCCACATAGTGTAATGCCGTTTATTAAAATCCAAAAGATAAAATATATATTGCATTTACAATCATAAAGTATTCACAAGCATCACAACCAGGTGTGCGCTCCACTAGGCAGCAATGACGTCACCACGGTCCGTACTGATACGTTTCGCCCCTCCCACTGGGCGTCTTCAGAGGTAAAACTCAGGTAAGATGGAAGCTATAAATCTCAGCAGTATGCAAGTCACAAGAGACTATGTTGATATTTATTTATGTTTGTTGGTTATTGTATGGAGAGCATGGGGCAGCGCACATATATGTGTGTGTGTGTAACTCAAATATATCATAAAAAAATAAATAATTTATATACACACACACATGCACATATATATATGTGTGTGTATATAAATTATTTTTTTATGATATATTTGAGTTACTGTTGCCTTTCTATCATCTGGAACCAGTATGCCCATTCTCCTCTGACATCAACAAGGCATTTTCGTCCACACAACTGCCGCTCACTGGATATTTTCTCTTTTTCGGACCATTCTCTGTACTCCCTAGAGATGGTTTAGCGTGACAATCTACATGCCTAAATGCATTGAGTTGCTGCCATGTGATTGGCTGATTACCAAGCAATTGAACAGGTGTACCTAATAAAGTGGCCGGTGAGTGTATATAGCTCGATGGTAAGCTGGAGTTGGGCTTTAGTAGTTGATTGCCATTTCCGGATTGTGTTATTGTGACGGGACAGACAGATGAAAGCATGACAACACATAGTAGCCATGCGTGTGATAGCACTTCCTTTACTCCTGTGTAGACAGAGGGTGTCCTGTGATGTAGAAATCTCCATAGCAACATCCAAGATTGCTTGTTTTCCCATAAATGGGTATTTGTGTTGCGTGGAGTATCAATAGGTGGTGATGACTAAGAATTATGCTAGGGATTTTATAACAGTTTGTTATACAAGGTAAATGCTAGATTAAGCCTACGTTGTTCTAAAACAAAGCAGTGCTAGATAGATGTGAGATGCATAACTAGAAAAGTAAAGTATTTGTAGAAACTGGTATTCATTGTACATTAATGGTGATTTTTAGGAAATGCTTCTTTGTCTAAAGGCCACCTCTGACCTGGGCTGTGATCACCGGTGAACTTTCAAGAAATAAAAAGAAATCACCCAAGATAGATTTTCATGGTTGACTGCTGTTGCTACCCCAAGAGGACTGATATCATGGGGCTGATGGGGGGGTGCACAGGCCATGCTCGAGCAGGCTTACCTAGAGTGACTGTTCATGTTTGTACTGTACTAATTTAGTAGCAATTTGCTACTAATTTTTTTTTTTGTTTATTTCCATTTAATGTCTATGGGAACTTTACAGCAGACCCTTAATGTGACGTGCACAAGCATGGCCGTTCATCCTATCGATCTGATAACTTTAATAAATTGGATGTATGAAATGGTCATTCTGTTCAATACACATGATGAATTTAGTGTATGGCTAACAATGTTTTCAATACTCTGAATGAGATCTTCTCTCAATAAACTATTGGAAAGAGTCTATGACAAAACATAACTGTGAATTAATCAAGAAATTACATTGGAAGTCAAGGCATCTGAATAAATACATAGTTTAATAGATAATCACCCAATATATGCTGTTAAAACCTTCATTTGGAAAGTTTGTTATCCATTAAACTTTAGGAGACCATACTTTGCTGGTTGGAGTACAAAATGCCCTGGCAAGTGGGAGTGACCAAATGCCTCAGGGTTGGTCCTAGCACCTAAGGTTATAGGAAGGAGGAATATTGCCCCATCATTGGTTCAGTGGGAGATATAGTGCCTCATAATTGGTGTTTGTGGGAGGAATACTACTCTATCATTGGTGTCAGGGGATGAAGAATAATGTACCCTCTTTGCTGTCAGTGGAAAGAATATTGCCCCATTACTGGTGTCAGTGGGAGGAATTATACCCTATTGTTGGTGTCGGAAGGGGGGGGGGGGAATAACTTACCATTATTGCTGTCAGTGCAAAGAATGATGGCCCATTGTTGGTGTCAGTAGGAGGAATAATACCCTGTTGTTAATATCAGTGGAAAGAATTGTGCCCCATCCTTTGTGTTAATGGTAGGAAGTATGCCCCATCGTTCATAGCAATGAGAATAGTGCCCCATTGTTGTCAGTGAAAGGAATAGTGTACCATCATTGGGTGTCAGTGGAAGGAATAGTGTACCATCATTGGGTGTTAGTGAAAGGAATAGTGTACCATCATTGGGTGTCAGTGGAAGGAATAGTGTACCATCATTGGGTGTCAGTGGAAGGAATACTGCCCTATCATTGGGTGTCAGTGGAAGAAGTAGTGCCCCATTGCTGGTGTTAGTGGGTGGAATAGTTCTCCATTGTTGGTGTCAGTGGAAGTAATAGTGAGTCATTGTTGGTGTCAGTGAAAGGAATAGTGTGCCATTCTTGGGTGTCAGTGGAAGGAATATTGTGCCATTATTGGGTGTCAGTGGAAGGAATAGTGTGCCATTATTGGGTGTCAGAGAAAGGAATACTGCCCCATCATTGGGTTTCAGTGGAAGAAATAGTGCCCCATCATTTGGTTTCAGTGGAAGGAATAGGGCTGCATCACTGGGTGTCAGTAGAGAGAATAGTGTCCCATCATTGAGTGTTAGTAGAGGTAATATTGCCCCATCATTGGTGTTAGTGAGCGGAATAATTCCCCATTGTTCGTGTCAGTGGAAGTAATAGTAAGTCATTGTTGGTGTCAGTGGAAGTAATAGTGCCCCATCATTGGTGTTAGTGGGAGGAATAGTGCCCTGTCATAGGTGTACATGGGAGGAATTCTGCTGCAAAGACCAGTTAAAGGCAAGCAAAGGGCCACATCTAGTCTGTCCTAAGCGAATTGATTATCAACGCCCTAACAGGTCCACGGACAGCAACAAAACTGTGACAGAAGCTCTAAGTCTTCTCCACGTTATCCAAAGTTAAATAAAATGTTTTAGATAGAGCTACATTTTAACTTAGGTAAACAAATTGGCAGTTCCTCTTGTCCAATAAATTCAGCTCGGCTTTCTCTAGTGTCCCAAAGTTTGGCTCAGTGCCCTCTAAACGACTTTTGTATTCACAGTGAAATAAGAAATAGCTAATCCTCGCAGTTCACTTATTCTTTCACAGTCTTTAGACTTTAGGGATTGGGAACAAAATGAGCTAAATCCTATTAATCACACATTTCTTTCCCAGCGTAGAGATACTAACACACTATGTAATAAATATCATTTTGCATTGAATTGTTCTTTTGGCGTGTGTTTCAGCCCAGTATTTTCAATGAGCGAAACGAAATGTACTGGCTTGGTTGAATGCCTTAATCTAATTTGGAAAACAAGATTATTCCATTGTACTGATATAACTTCATTTGCACAGAGACTGGGCATTGAGAAGACAGACCCTGCAGCTCTAACGGAAGAGGAAATCACAAAGTTTGCACGGCTCGACATCGATCCAGACACCATCACGTGGCAGAGAGGTATCTAAGCATGGGCTTCAGAGTGACTGGACTCCATACCGCCAACTAAATACATAAATTAAATTCATATTTGAGAGCTCTTTACTTGCCAAAGGAGTTGTATCTCTGTACATCCAGTCCGGAGATTTACATAGCTTTGCCACACAACACATCCAGGTGGATGACACCATTGACAGCTAAAGTAGTGTCGTCTCTCCATGGCTAGTCAGTTGACTGGACAGTGAAAGCAGCAGCAGCAGATTGATGAAGTTGCCTCTCTGCTCATTTTGCCTTCTACCTCTATAATCATGTTCTCTGTCAACACCTTTGAATGCAGTGCAGCTGATTGACTATTAGTCCTGCCCATTCCTCTCCCAGTCTGAGGGCTGCGGTATAGGGAATTGCAAGAGGCTGATTCCATGTCAAAATTGGTCACCTACACTATATGCATTGAACAAATGTCACGATTTATTATCGATTTACAGAACTGCATTATTCATTATTATGTCTTTTTGTATTTCAGCTTTAATTTAGCCCTGTCCGTGCTCTATAAATGCTATTAGGATATGTACATGTTTGTTAAAAAGTTTCCCGAACCCCCTCGATACGTCCATTACGTCTGACAGCTCTGGCCTCCCACGCTGGCAAATGTTTAGTGCTGGGTCACCAGCCCTTATGCACTCATGTCCTATAGACTTGAATAGGATGCACCCATGTAGCAGGAGCAACGTCCTATTCAAATCTGTGGGATGTTGGTATGGAGGCGCAGGCAGCATAACAATTGATTTTTACTGGCTGGGCTGCAGATAGTGTGGAAGGCCGCAGTCATAGCCCAGTTCTGTGTATGGAAGGGGACTGGGGGAAATTTTTCGCAAATACGTACTTCCAGTATACCATTTAAAGGTAATATGTTAAGCAAAAATAGGATAGGTTTCATTTGTTTAAATGATAAAATATTGTTTTTTTGTTTTGTTTAATATACTGGGATTAGTGAATATGAAATATTGTGCATTATAATTTATAGAAGTAATCAGAATGTGGTAACTCCTCAGAGCCTCCTGTGCAGGCATAAGGTCTGATACACACCTATGCATTTTGTTTGTGTTTTTTTGTATTCTGCAGGAACACACTACAGTCCATTTACCATGGTTTCCTATGGGACACATTGATATCTATACATTTTTGGAAAGGGTCAGGTACTCATCGAACGGGGAAAATCCAACAGGGCAGTTGTACAGCCATTGATGCAGCATCCCACTATACTTGTTCTGAGCCCTGCAGAATCCCACCTGTGGTTCTCACTGAATCCTGCAGCATCCCACTATCCTTTCTCTGAGCCCTGCAGAATCCCACCTGTGGTTGTCACTGAATCCTGCAGCATCCCACTATCCTTGTTCTGAGCCCTGCAGAATCCCACCTATGATTTTCCCTGTTCCTTGCAGCAACTAGCCTATACATGTTCCTCTGCCCTGCAGCATCCACCTATATACATTCTTGAGAACTGCAGCATACTGCATATACTTGTTCCTGAACCCTGCATCATCTGGCTATGGTTTTTCCAGAGCTCTGCAGCATCTTCTCTGTGGTTCACCTTGAGCCCTGCAGCATCCTGTCTATGGTTCTCCCCGATTCTTGCAGCAACCAGTCTATATTTGTTCCTGAGCCCTGCAGCGCCCAACTATAGCTCTCCCAAGAACTCTGCAGCATCTCGTCCGTGATTGTCTCTTAGCCCTGCAGCATCTCGCCTAGAGTTCTCCCAGAGTCCTGCAGCATCCAGTCTATATGAGTTCCTAAGCCCTGCAGTAACTGGCATATACTTGTTCCTGAGCCATGCAGCATCCCCCCTATACTTGTTCCTGAGCCATGCAGCATCCCCCCTATACTTGTTCCTGAGCCATGCAGCATCCCCCCTATACTTGTTCCTGAGCCCTGCAGCATCTGACTGTGGTGCTCCAAGATTTCTGCAGCATCTCATCTATGATGCCCCTGAGCCAAGAGGCATCTTGCCCAAGGTTCTCCATGAACCTCACAGCATCCAGTTTATACTTGTTCCTGAGCCGTGCAGCATCCCCCCTATACGTGTTCCTGAGCCGTGCAGCATCCCCCCTATACGTGTTCCTGAGCCATGCAGCATCCCCCCTATACGTGTTCCTGAGCCGTGCAGCATCCCCCCTATACGTGTTCCTGAGCCCTGCAGCATCTGACTCTGGTACTCCAAGATTTCTGCAGCATCTCATCTATGATGCCCCTGAGCCCAGAAGCATCTTGCCCAAGGTTCTCCATGAACCTTACAGCATCCAGTTTATACTTGTTCCTGAGCCTTGCAGCAACTGCCTATACTCATCCCTGAGTCTTGCAGCACCCAGACTATACTCATTCCTGAGCCCTGCAGCAACTGGAAATGATTTTCCAAAAGCTGAAGCATCCCACCTCTGGTTCTCCCTGAACCCTGCAGCATCCAACCTATACTTGTCTGTGAGCTCTGCTGTACCTGGCCTATAGTTAGGAAGTGCTAAACTTTCAGGTCTTTTGGAAACACTGGAAAGTATTTAATCAAAGTCCATGTCTATTAAAGCAATCAAAGGAATAACTCCACTTCTTTCTGACAGTATATGACGACCGCAAATATATTTATATATTGTTTAAATCACAAAAACTAACAGTGATTTATTTCCATGTGACTGAACCTGTTTCTTAGGTTGGTGGAGGGCACATTTTTGTTTCAGTTGGCTTCAAGAGTCACACAGCGAGCATTCACACCTGACATTGAGTGAATGGGGGGCACTGCCAGGCAGTCATTAGCCTCTTTGTGAAATCACTGAAGGTGGTAAACAGATGGCAGATTTGGCTTTGTTTTCTTTGTTGTTTCACCCAGAGAGCCAGTTTTTTGTCATTGCTGATTATAAATAGCAGGAGGTTTGTTGAGAGAGACTCAGATCTAGAATTCTTATGCTGCAAGAAAGGCAAATTATATGCTTGGCATATGAGTAGAAAGCTCATGAATATGTTTGTGATCTGGAAAGGCTTCAGCAGAGCCTTATTACTGCCCTATTATCAGTTGTAGACAGAGCTCTGTAGTTAGCGTTTACATTGAAAGTGATCATATTGACGCAGGTGAATGTAATGTTTGCATTGCAATGCACAATACTTTCAAACATCCGACTGATTAAAATAGTTGTTAAAAAATCAATGTGTGACCACCTTAGCAGTGGACAAAATGCAATGGCTGTTAACCACCTCCCGTCCACCGTTGTATATAAACGGCCGGATGGTGGCGGTGCGGGGTCGGGTAGCCATTTATAAACGGCCTCCCTGCCCTGCGCTCCTAGGGAGCGTGCAGCACCGTGATCTGGTGCCCGCTGTGTCCTCCGGACCAGTGGAATACTGATCGTCGGGACGGGACCTCTCTGCAAGGTCCCGATCATGTGATCACCGATTGGCCAATCAGTGATCACATGCAGAGTAGTAAGCAAGATGTCAGTTCTGACATAATTGCTTACTACGTGTGAAATCTGTGAATGATCACAGAGGTCACATGGTACAAGGCTATTCACAACAGCCTTGTACCATGTGACAAGCTGTGACCAATCACAGCTCACACAGTAGTTCTCAATGGCTGCAAGAATGCAGCCAGAGATAAGGAGAAATGATTTCTTTTACAGTCTTTATGGGTGTAAAAGCAATCAGTGTAAAAAGAAAAAAAAAAAAAAAAAAATCACCCCCCCCCCACGAGTAGTACAGTGTCACCATGGTGACACTGTACTGCTAGGGTGACAGTATGTAAAAAGAAAAAAAAAACAAATAATATAAAAAGTTTAAAAATTATAATTTTTGCTTGTAAACTAATTTGGTGGTTTTTTTTTTGTTTTTGTTTTTTTTTACTAAAAAGATAACGGAATACATTTTGGCCAAGATTTATGATGAAATATTATTTGCAAACTTTTATAGGAAAAACACTTTTTTTCAAAATTTCTGGACGTTTTTCATTTACATAGCAAACAAAATAAAAATCCCCGTGGTGAATAAATACCACCAAAATAATGCTTTATCTGTCTCAAAAAAATACAAAAAAATTCATATAGGTACAGTGTTGCATGACTGCACAATTGTCATTCAAAGTGTGATAGCACCGAAAGCTGAAAATTGGCCTGAACAGGAAGGGGGTAAAAGTGTCCGGACATGAAGTGGTTAAGCTACATTCACACCTGTGAATGAGCCCAACACTGATTACATGCAAGAACCCCAGTCGGGGTTCCTGGAAATTAGATGCAGGAAACAGCCCCATTGAAAGCATTGAGAGGCTGGCAGCTTCCACAGCAAATTGTGACCACTGGTATGCAATTGCTCATGTAGCAATCACTTGAGAGTGATCAGCCATGCAGCAGGCAGCTAATCCCTGGGAACCCCCACTGGGGTTCTCACTGTAATCAGGCCCCTTTGCAGGTGTGAATGTGGCCTTAAAGCAATCATTCAGGTAGGAGCCACTGTAATGGGTTCATGCTAATCAAATTGGGAAGATCCTCCTTCAGAAATCTACCAGATGCAATGGTCTGACTCGCTGGTCAATAGGAGGGTGCAGATGTGGCAGGAGGCTATGGGTTTGGTGATGATTTGCATGATAGAGCACACCAGGTTTTGGGCTGCCAGTATGTTGGGGAAATAATCCATTGATGGAAGCACTTTATTGGTTATCAGAGTCAAAATATCCTTTTTTAAAGATTTCTCTTACACAGTCTTAACACTTGAATGACTGCAGCACCAATCTTCCTGCCATAAACTGTGCAGTCTTTATCTGATCTAATAAAATGGTAGGTGCCAGAAGGTGGTCACTTTTCACTATATTTCTTGCTACAGTTATGAGCACAATGAATGTGACTGCTTAATAGAAGGTGGATTAAAATACTTAAGACTGAGATGCCACCTTGTTAAAATTAACAGCATGTGCATTGGATATATTGTATTTTGTGTATACAGGTGTACCTCGGTTTACAAATTTAATGCTTTCTCCGGGACGTTTCGTATTGCGAAAAATTCGTGCACCGAAACACAGTTTCCTATAGGAATGCATTGAAAACTAATCTGTTCCGAAGGTCAGAAATTTTTTTTATAAAAGGCGCTGTCACTGTTGGTCAGTGCTGGTTTTTAAATGTAATTACCGGCTTTTGTTTTTTTTTTTTCTTCACTATAGCTCAGAGAATCAGCTGTCAATTTCACCCCAGCTAAAAGAAAGAAAGTTTGCCTTTTAGTTTATTTCCCCTAAAAGAAACAATGTTTCCTTTTAGTTTGTTTCCTGAGATAAAAGAAACAAAGTATCCTTTAGCTCCAGGGAAAGTGACAGCTATTCTGTAAGCTATAGTGAAGGGAAAAAAAGCCGGCAATTGCATTTAAAAATCGGCACCGACATACATTTCGTATTGCGAAAGAAATTCGTAAACCGGGGCATTATTTTCAGTGGACTTTCATTCGTAAACCAAAAATTATGATAACCAAGGCGTTCGAAAACTGTGGTACACCTGTATAAAGAATATTAATGGCCTTCATTTTTTTTTTTTACAGTAATGGACACAAATGATCGATTCCTAAGAAAGATTACAATTGGCCAGTCCCCAACAGAAAAGGGTTTTACTCGGACGGTAATGTACCTTAGTATTTACTGATTTACAGTATGTAGATTATTTTTCTTCTGTCAACCCTGGTTGTTAAATATATCATATGGGAATGTTTCTTGAATATTCATTAAGCAGACATGTCAATTTTTTGTTCAAGCTACACAGTAGATTTGCCCATAGCTTATATAATAAGGGCAGCACATATCTGTCTTTTTCTATCTTGCCTCTCCAGCCATCAGGGGCTGAGGAAAATGGGGTAGAAAGTGCATCACTCTCCTCCCTACCACATGACAGTGTTGGAGGTTGGTGATTGGCCATCCAGGCACCTGGTGCTGTTGTGCTATTGCAAGATCCAACCATACTGGGGTCATGCCTTAATCCCCTTTGTACACTTTGCTATCCTTAAAGCATAGCCTATGAGAATGCTGTGGCTGGCATCACACCAATCTAGGGTATTATTACCACCCCCCCCCCCCACCCCCACCATAAAGGAAAGCAACTATGTTGAAATGTTTCAAATATATTTTCATCTTTAAAAAATATTGTATATCTGTATATCTTTACTTATATTGGTTTATGATTTCTGATCACTCTTCTATCCAGGCTCAGTTTGACATCTCTGTAGCCAGTGAAATAATGGCTGTTCTGGCCCTTACAAATTCACTAAGTGACATGAGAGAACGACTGAGCAAGATGGTGGTGGCCACCAGCAAGCAAGGAGATCCTGTTACCACAGAGGACTTGGTAAGGCGCAGAACTTATTTGGCTATTTCACTGAAGGGCTTGACTTTGTTTTTTCTTGGTTAAAGTCTTATTCATTTAGTTTTCTGTTGGTGGATGTGGCTCCTATGGCCCAGCTATTGTCAGTGCTCCCTTCTCTCCAGTTGCAGCAGCTGCTCACTGATACAAGGCGGTCGGAGCAGATTGAAAAGGGTGTGACATGAAGGAACATTTTTAAGAATAATTAGTGCAGGGCTTTAATTCCATTTAAAGTCAACCCTGGTCTTCTTCTATGTCTTAAATATCTCCCTGCCATAATTCAAGCTCTGTTCGTGTCCACTTGGACGTTTTGGGTATTCTCACCCATCTTTGTGTGTTCTACATCATCCTTCTTTATTGCTCTCTCTATACTTTCATAAAAAATTAAAAATCCAACAGGCAGAATGGGAACCCCTTAAAATGGCCACAGCAGGTGTTTAGACATGAGAACTCAAGCAAAGAGATCTCATAAATAGAATCCCTGAAAGTCAGATGGATTTTCGTTCCAGCATCAGTTTTTGGTGGACAGGCTTTTATGGCTAGTAAATTAGCGGCTTTTTAATTTTTCTCAGGGAGTGAGCGGTGCTCTGGCTGTACTGATGAAAGATGCCATAAAGCCAAACCTGATGCAGACACTAGAGGTAAGTTCTACCATTGTTACATTTACTCTGTGAAGTTGGCTTGCTCTACTTACGAATGAACCGTTTTCATGGCTATATTTTATTTTTCAGGGAAATCCTGTGTTTGTTCATGCTGGGCCTTTTGCTAACATTGCTCATGGAAACTCCTCCATACTGGCTGATAAAATAGCCTTGAAGCTGGTTGGTCCAGATGGATTTGTAGGTAGGTTGCCTTTCCTAGTAAAGTAGAAGATTGCCCTTTTTATTTTAGATTCATAATTACGTGCAATTGTGTGTTTGCAGTGACAGAAGCTGGCTTTGGAGCAGACATTGGTATGGAAAAATTTTTCAATATCAAGTGTAGATATTCTGGTCTGTGCCCCCGCGTGGTGGTTTTGGTTGCTACAGTCCGAGCATTAAAGATGCATGGAGGAGGGCCAACTGTGAGTATTACATTACCATGTGAAATAGCCTTTGACGTTTCTTAAGAATTTGGACATTAAGGACCAGTTCACACTGAAATGCTGTGTGGGAAACCCACATTCCATGCGGGTATTCCACACCGCTTTCAGAAAGCACTGCCCTTGCGATCTGCTGTAGGTGTAAAATGCAGTGCATTAGCCCACACTGTATCACATGGTACAAAAGTACCATATGATCTGGTTGCAGTGCGTTTCCAAAAGTAGTGCATTTACTACTTTTGGTGTGATGCGCGGTGCAATCTCGGCCTATTCAAAATGAATGGGCTGATAACGCACCACACAGAACTGCATGTGAATTTATTCCTAGTGTGAATGGGCCCTTACACTGGAACAACTTGGCATGTATTTTAATAGAGCTACATCCCTTGATGACTGCCTATAGTATTGTTTTGAATACTATTGAATAGATTGTCAGCCAGTGTACACAGGTTTTTAAAGAATGTTTCCACCGCAGCATAGTATAGCTTTGTTAATGTGTAAGTGTTTTTGTTGGGCTCAGCAATATCCCCTGAAGGTCCTATACTTACCTGTCCATGTTCCGTCGAGATATTTGTTGTATGCATAGTGCTACATGGCTTTTTCTTGAACATCTTCACCATGGATTGCCATAGTCTCTGTTGATTCCAGTGAAAGGTCTGCAATCCACTCATCCTACTGAAGTATGAACTTTCTATTGAATTTAATGGAGATAGTTGCATATATGCATGGGAAGACCCACAGTTGCCTAAAACAGAAGCATTGTTTGGCAGAGAGTCATATTCCTTTGCATCACATTGAGCTCTTTGATTTTAATGTTATACTTGTCCATTTATTATCCCAGAGGCGTAGTCCCTTCTTTGCAGCAACCTTTTTTCCCCAGAAACAAGTACTGTGATTTTAGAGTATACGTACTTTGGCCCCCTGCTTATGCAATCAGGTACTGCAGAAAGGCCATACATTATCTCAGAATTCAGTCTAGATTTCACAAAACAGGAAATGGAGAGTGGGGATCCCTGGATGTTATTCCTTAGAATAGTGCCAAGAAGAAGGAGGCTTTCTATATAAAATGGAATGCCCTTAAAATCCTAGTCTTCATCCCGCCTTAAATTTTATACAGTTCAGTACAAAAAAAAAAGTGATTTTTTTTTTTTTTTTTTTTTTTTTTTTTTTTAAACCTGCTAAATCCTACGTTCCAAAACGGTGGGAATATTTATTGCTATTACATGAATGCAACAGATGGCAGATAAATGAATACACTGACATTTAAATATCTTTCATACAGGTCACCGCCGGTGTTCCTCTACCAAAGGAGTATACTGAGGAGGTGAGCAAATAAGTAGATGTTTTTTGTGGGGCTTCATTCATGTTCTATAAATAAATCAGAAAAGGTTTTAGTCATTTACTTGAGTTCAGCAATAAAAAAGATTTCCAGCTGTTCTGTTATGTTTGCCCTGAAACAAGAGCTGTATTCAAAGCCACTTCATGCGGATGAATGAAGCATTAATCATTCCATAATGGGCCTTGATGTGTTTCTGAGGTTTTTAGGTGTTACATAGCTAGTGCTTTTTAAAGGTTCTTGAAGGGTAACTCCATATTTGTGCTAAAAAATATATATATATATATATATATATATATCACATACATACACACTGCTCACAAAAATTAAAGGAACACTTTGAAAATACATCAGATCACAATGGGGAAAAATTTCTTGCTGGATATCTATACTGATGTGGACTAGGTAATGTGTTAGGAATGTAAGGATGCCCCATTGTTTGATGGAAATGAAAATTGTCAACCTACAGAGGACTGAATTCAAAGACACCCTGAAAATCAAAGTGAAAAAATGATGCAGCAGGCTAATCCATTTTGCTGAAATTTCATTGCAGCAACTCAAAATGGTCCTCAGTAGTTTGTATGGCCCCCACGTGCTTGTATACATGCCTGAACACGTCGGGGAATGCTCCTAATGAGACGATGGATGGCGTCCTGAGGTATTTCCTCCCAGATCTGGGCCAGGGCATCACTGAGCTCCTGGACAGTCTGAGGTGCAACCTGGTTTCGTTGGATGGACTGAAACATGATATCTCAGAGGTGTTCTATTGGATTTAGAGCGTGGGGGCCATTCAGTGGTATCAATTCCTTCATCCTCCAGGAACTGCCTGCATACTCTCGCCACATGAGGCCGGGCATTGCCGTGCACCAGAAGGAACCCACGACCCCCTGCACCAGCGTAGGGTCTGATAATGGGTCCAAGGATGACATCCCGATACCTAATGGCAGTCAGGGTGCCATTGTCTAGCCTGTAGAGGTCTGTGCGTCCCTCCATGGATATGCCTCCCCAGACCATCACTGACCCACCACCAAAACGGTCATGCTGAATGATGTTACAGGCAGCTCAACGTTCTCCACGGCTTATCTGGACCCTTTCACGTCTGTCACGTGCTCAGGGTGAACTTGCTCTCATCTGTGAAAAGCACAGGGTGCCAGTGATGGACCTGACAATTCTGGTGTTCATTAGCAAATGCCAATTAAGCTCTATGGTGTCAGGCAGTGAGCACAGGGCCCATTAAAAGACTTTGGGCCCTCAGGCCACCCTCATGAAGTCTGTTTTTGATTGTCTGGTCAGAGACATTCACACCAGTGGCCTGCTGGAAGTCATTTTGTAGGGCTCTGGCAGGGCTCATCCTGTTACTTCTTGCACAAGGGAGCAGATTCCAGTTCTGCTGATGGGTTAAGGACCTTCTATGGCCCTGTCCAGCTCTGCTAGAGTAATTGCCTGTCTCCTGGAATCTCCTCCATGCTCCTGGGACTGTGCTGGAAGACACAGCAAACCTGTCAATGGCACGTATTAATGTGCCATCCTGGAGGAGTTGGACTGCCTGTGCAACCTCTATAGGATCCAGGTATCACCTCATGCTACCAGTAGTGACACTGGCCCTAGCCAAATGCAAAACTAGTGAAAAACAGTCAGAAAAGATGAGTAGGGAAAAAAATGTCAGTGGCCTCCACCTGTAAAACCATTCCTGTTTTGGGGGTCGTCTCATTGTTACCCATCTAGTGCACCTGTTATTAATTTCATTAACAACAAAGCAGCGGAAACTGATTAACAACCCCCTCTGCTACTTAAAGCTGGCTATACACTATACAATTTTCTGTTCAATTCGGCTCAATTTCCTTTAGATTGACCTTCAACTATGTAGTGCAAAGGACTTCCTAATTGGATACAATTGAAAGTTGTTTAGGTTTGACCTCATATTATATGGTTTTTCTGTAAATCTAAAGCAAAATTGGTAAGAAAAATAGTATAATGTGTGGCCTGCCTTACTGACCAGACCAATATCCCAGGAGTTTAATTGACTTGATGTTATACTCTGATTAAAAAGTTTTTCTTTTAATTTTTTATTTTTTGAGCAGTGTGTGTGTGTACACACTATATTGCTAAAAGCATTGGGACACTCCTCCAAATTATTGGATTCAGATGTTCCAATCACTTCCATGGGCACAGGTGTATAAAATCAATCCTGTAGGTGTCCGACGTACTCCAAAATGGCAAAAAGGTATAGGGGATTTCTTTGGATCTCCATCTACTAGCAGTGTTGAAAAAGAGAACCGTATGCCTTCTGACGATGAGGAAGAAGCAGGAGGAAGTGGCATTGGTAAAGCAACAAGGAAGTCTCGTGCACTGGTTGATGATGGTTCTGATGAAGACTGAATACACTTGAGCTTTTTGATTGCTTGTACCTAGGCATCTAGGCATGCAGACTGCTTCTACAAACATTTGTGAAAGAATGGCTCGTTCTCAGGACTTCAGTGACATCAAGTGTGGTTCCGTGATAGGTTGCCACCTGTGCAATAAGTCCATCCGTGATCCTTTCTACTAAATATTCCATGGCCAACTCTTACTAATATTATAACAAAGTGGAAGAAACTGGGAACAACAAAAACTAAGACGAGAAGTGGTAGGCCACGTAAAATGACAGAGCAGGGTCAACGCATGCTGAAGCGCACAGTGCGCAAAAGTCCCCAACCGTCTGCAGAGTTTATAGCTAAAGACCTCCAAACCTTGTGTGGCCTTCAGATTAGTACAACAGTGCGTAGGGAGCTTCATGGAATGGGTTTCCATGGCCGAGCAATAGAAAGGCTCTGGACAGCATTTGGATATGGAACAGTTAAAAACGGCTTATAAATGCAGTGAGCCGCGTTTACAAGCGTTTGAAACATTGATAAAATCTACTCCTGAACGCAAGTTTGGTGCGTTCAAAAAAATGACTGTAAACTTAACTGCTTGTAAACGACTATGTGTATATGAACACTAGGAAAACATTAGGGGGAGTTTAGGGACTGCTGAAAAAAACGCAGAAAAGCTCCTGGACGTGAGTTTATCAGCTGCAGTGTACATGAGCCCTTACAGTACATTTGGCCGAGCCAGTACTTTATTTAAGCCAGTAAACTTGTTTGGAACCTTGTACATAAGAAAGGAGGAAGGAGTTTAACTTGTTTTTAATCGTCCCAAATTCTACTGATTTAGCTTTTAAAATGGAACACGAGAGGTACAAAACAAAAGTCACAAAGCAGGTGTTTGCACAGCTAAGTATTGGACACTTGCGTACGTGTGGAGAAAGGATGCTAAGTATTCCAGGTGCTAGAAATCTTTAACACATTTTGAAAACTATAATTATGATAATAGAAATCCTTTTTGTATAAAATGCACATTATTCTTCATCTGCAGCAAGGTCTGCTGTCATATTCCAGCTGACAAGAGGGAACAGTGAGGAAAAAAATAGCAGCAAAACTTTGTAGGCACAAATAATATTTAACTAGTTTTTGTAGATAGTGTAGACATAGAGCGGGGGTCAGCAACCAGTAGATCGTGGCCAGGTGACTGGTAGATCACGGTCAGGGCTTGCTGACCCGCCATCCCAGAGCATCAAAACTGAGTGCAATGCAGAGGGAATACTTGTAAAGTTGGAGCAAGTGCCGCATAAGCCGATGCCTCCTCTGTAGTGCTGACTCCTGTCCCATGTGAAATCAACTGCACTCCCTCTTATCCCGGCTAGCGGTCTCCAGAGTAGTGCCAGCAGCAGGAAAGAAGAGATCTTTAGGTCATTGTGAGGCAATACGCTGAGCGTAATCGTATAGTGCTGCTTTCACACTGATATGCTGCGGTTTACCCACACCACGGGTGCAGTGCAGTGTATCTGCAGCTTTCCTGCGGGTTTGCTGCGCTTAGCAATAGACTTCTATTACATCCTGCAGGTTTGGTGCATCTTCAGAAAGTGCACCACACCTGCAGGATATAATAGAAGTCTGTGGCAAAGTGCAGCTAATCCAGGAAAGTCGCAAATGCACTGGCGGGGCAGGTATACCCAGCACGTTAGTGTGAAAGCAGCCTTATAGGTGGCTCAGAACACAAGGGTTCGTTTACATTTTCAGTTTGAGGGGTGGTAAAACTTCATAGTTTAGTCTTTTTTTTTTTCCACCCCCGCCCCAACTGCAGTGTGCAGTGGCCAGAGGGTGTACACATGTTGCAGTCATACAGTACAGCAAACAAGGAGTTAAAGCAAGCAGTGTTATGTTGCTTTTTCACCACCTGCTTTAACCCCTTGGACCCTGCAAAAGCATGCAGTTGCGGGGCGCTTGCAGGGTGGCCCCATTTACTTGAATGCCCCCCCCCCCCCTCCCCCCCAGGGTGCAATTGGCAAAAGCAACTAAGGGCTCATTTAAGTGCAGCATGCACTGCTACTCCTCTGAAAAGCGATGCAAGTGTGTTTGACAGGTGGTGAGCAGGCGATATGTTGCCTCCTCATCACCTGATTTAAGCCCATGATTGCCTTGCAATGTACGTGATTGCGGCACAGTAGTACGGCCATTAGAGGTTTAAATCAGGTGTGAGGAGGCAACACCGTATCCCGTGATCTTTGACTTCTCCCATGTTGTTCAGGTAGATCTCCACCTCTTTAAGGTAGCCTACCCTTGAGTTACGGTTTGCACTTTGCCATTCACATTTTTTCCTTACACATGACTATGCCTTATCACATCTGACTACGCAGGATCCCATTGTTTCTAACTGTCCTAGTTCACACGTGTACGCTTATACACCCTACTATACTCTACACTTAAAAAATGAAAATAAAAAAAGCTCATTTCCTTTTTTATTTTTTTTTTGCATATTCAGACTTTTTTGATCCCATAGACCTCAATGAGATAGCCTGTAAAGGCACAAGTAACACGTTCTCGCACATGTAAGACTCCTCTCCTTCTATAGAGCTGTACTCTTCCTCTTGCCCAGCCTAGGCAACCAACTTTTGATTTGTATATGTGTGCGGAAATGCTTGTGAAACATCTGGAAAATGCTTGGGAAAAAAAAAAGCTTCAAAATGACCAGAAACATGTTCTGCTTCCGCTGTGCTGAGATGGAAATGCAGGCTTAATGAGTATCCCAGTTTGCAAAAGCCCATTGGGGACTGGCTCTTTTTTAGGTTGCCTCATGTCCTTTTTAGGCTGCATTTACACCTGAACGTAGTAGAAATGCACCCCCCAAATGAGGGTAGCAGGCACATGTTGTGATGTGCAACAAAATGCGCAAGAGCCATGCAAAAATGTGCATCGCCAAACGCACTTGGCTTACTGCCACAAAATGGTGCTTGAGCTTCTTTGGTGCATTTGTTGCGTGACAGGCAACTCATTTAAGCCAATGGGCTGTCACGCCAAAAACATGCTAAAACATGCAATACGTCACTCAGCTGTGAATGGAGCCTTAGCAATTTTGCTACTGCGTGGTACTATGGTAATTCGTCTTTGACAATCTTGCTTTCTGTAAAAAGTGCTACACAGCAGAATATTTGTGTTTTATGAAATATCCACCGAGAGAGCTTGTGATATACATTATGATCACATTTCTGTTTGCAGAATCTGGAGCTGCTGGAGAAGGGCTGCAGTAACCTAACTAAGCAAATCCAAAACGCTGTCATGTTTGGGGTCCCTGTGGTTGTCGCCGTCAATGTTTTCAAGTAAGAAGGCTGGTCTTTTCATTCTTTTCAATGCACATGCGATGCCAGTGCTCTGGAACTGATCTTTGTAGTCTTGGCTTACTGTATACTGAATATAGCTCATTAAATAACTGCAATTAAAGTGACCCTGTACTGGCACAAATAATCTTAGTATTCCTGCAGTTTAACCCCTTCACGCCTAAGGGTAAAACAAATCTTAAAGCCGAAGCACAATTTTGCAGCTTTGATATGTGTTAGTAAAACTGTACATATCAACTACTTTGTACATCCAGGTGGATTATACCTTTTTTTTTTTTTTTTTTTTTTCAGGAAAAATTGGGCTTTCATTTGGTAAATGGTAATGGATATGGCCTGATTTTTTTTTTTTTTTTTTTTTTTTTGTATTCTCAAAGGAAAACTGACCCAATATAGTAAAAAAAAAAACCAAAACTTTTTTGAAATTTAGTTGTATATTTCTTGCTACTACCATAACCGACCACCAAAGAGCAAAAAATTCGGACCCTAATTTTTGACCTAGACCCTGATCTTGACCCAAACACTATCCCTGGCACTGACCTAGATCAAACTTTGATTTAGGTATTTTTATTTGTTTTATTAATATTTTTATGTATCTATTTACAAATACTTATATTTTTCTCTCCGAAAGGACAAAGAGAGATGCAATGTATCTCTCTCCTCCTTTCAGAGAGAGAAAACAAGGGGGGCAGGCTTCACAGTGACTGATCACTGTGATATCCAATCAAAGGCTTTCAAAATGATCATGTGACCCGGAAATCAGGAGTTTCAGGTCCCGATTGTTAGAACAGGACCCCAGGCTCTCACTGACACCCCGGTCTTTTTCCTGGGAGTGCCCTGCACGATATGCTCCCAGCACAAAGACAGGTACGCATATTAGTGCCCCCATGGAAAAAAGCCAAGTCCAGTGGGGTCGCTAATTTGTTTACGCTCGGAGACCAGGGTTAGTAAAGCCAATTGGTAGTAAAGTCTTTGTGTTTAAAACTGCTGACAAGTAGGGTTTTTATAATAGAAGAGACCCTGGAGGTCTCTTCTGTCATAAATGACCCCCCTGCCTGTCAGCGGGTAATGCGATCTGAGTTGCACATGCACAGCTTAGATCACAGTTAGGGCTCGCTCCATGTGCCGCAGCAAAGTGACTCCTGTGTGTATGTGTGGGAGTGACGTCACTGCAGCCCAGCCATTCAAACAGCTGAAGATTTGGAACCCGGAAGGAAGACTGGGTTAACATGGAGGCCCATGGACCACAGAAAGCTGTGACAGCCCAGCACAGCTCGTTCTGTAGGTAAGTCTCTCAAAATGTACTAGTATGCGGTGCATACTAGTACATTAGAACTTAAATCTGCAGGGAAGCACATTTTTTTTTGTCTCCTAATGAGACTTTACCTTCAATGCACTTTGGTGCTGCAGGAGCTTCAAAAAAAAAAAAATCTGTGAAAGTACTAACTTTTCAAATGTCACCAGTACCATGGAATAATAAAGAACATAAGCCTGACATTTATTAAACCAGTGTACTAAATAAAAGCCTTATATGTCCTTAAAGGATAAGTTCACCTTTTAACAAGAAATAATAAATTCACATTTTTTTTTTTGCCGGTAAAAAAATGTTAATTTGTTATCTTTTTGTTTCTGGAGCCTCTAAAGCATTGCACCAGGGATCAGCAGATCGCTGGTGCCATGCTGGTCTCCTGCAGACCTGTCAGTGTACACTCTGACAGGAAGACTCGATGAACTACCACAGTGCTGGGTTCATTGAGAATTACAAGCCGACAGCCACAAAGGCTGCAGGGACTTGTAATTTCTCATTCACAAACTACTGTGAGTGAGTGACGCAGCTGGACAAGCGAAACCCCGCACAGCCTCCTTTTTTTTTTTTTTTTTTTTTAATTGTGACAGCAGGGGGGAGAAGTTCCCCCACCAGTTGTTTACAGGGGGGGGTCAGGGGACTGGTCCATTCATGACATATTACACCCTGAACATGGGTGTAACTTGTAACATATTGCAAAAGGTGAACTTATCCTTTAAAATACAGAGTGGTTGATTTACTAATCTGGAGAGTACAAAATCTGGTGCAGCTGTGCATGGTAGCCAATCAGCTTCTAACTTCAGCTTTTTCAATTAAGCTTTGACAAAGAAACCTGGAAGCTGATTGGTTTCTATGCAGATCTGCAACAGATTTTTTACTCTCCAGCTGTAAAAAATCAACCCCAATGTATTAAAAATACAGAGGTAGGCCAGTCATAACTATTGTAAAATAACTGACGCATACTGCCACTGCTAACTTTGGTCTGGGCAACTAGGTTTCGATAACCCTGATCATGAAAGAATTAAAGCGGAGGTCCAATGGGAATTAAAAAAAAAAATAAAAGTCAGCAGCTATAAAAACTGTAGCTGCCAACTTTTAAAAAAAACAGACACTCACCTGTCCCTTGGTCCGGTGGTGTCCTTCCAGCGGCCGGGTTGACCGACCATCCTGTCCTCTCAGTGCCAGCATCTTCAGTGTAGGGACCTGGCTGTGACTGCTTGAGGTTTCACAGCTGGGTGCCTACTGTGCATGCGCGAGTAGCGCTGCACTTTGTGAATGGCCCCGTAGTTAGCACGATTCCTCTCAACACACACTAGTGGCCATGCAGTCAGCACTACAGTTGCAAGAAAAAGTATGTGAACCCCTTGGGACTGAATGATTACATGTTATGTGCAATTAAACCATGGCAACATCTAATGTTTGTGTAGTATTATGTTCAGCAGACTGTGTTCTTCTATTGTTGTGACTTAGATGATGTTCAGAGCACATTTTATGCCCAATTCATGCAAAACTCCACGTAATCCCAAGGGGTTCACATACTTTTTCTTGCAACTGTATGTCCTCTCAGCACACACTAGTGGTCATGCAGTCAGCATGATGTCCTCTCAGCACACACTAGTGGCCATGCAGTCAGCACGGTGTCATCTTAGCACACACTAGTGGCCATGTAGTCAGCACAATGTCCTCTCAGCACACACTAGTGGCCATGTAGTCAGCACAATGTCCTCTCAGCACACACTAGTGGCCATGTAGTCAGCACAATGTCCTCTCAGCACACACTAGTGGCCATGCAGTCAGCACAATGTCTTTTCAGCACACACTAGTGGCCATGCAGTAAGCACAATGTCCTCTCAGTACACATTAGCGGCCATGCAGTCAGCACGGTGTCCTCTCAGCACACACTACTGGCCATGCAGTCAGCACGGTGTCCTCTCAGCACACACTACTGGCCATGCAGTCAGCACGGTGTCCTCTCAGCACACACTAGTGGCCATGCAGTCAGCACAATGTCCTCTCAGTACACATTAGCGGCCATGCAGTTTGCATAGCTGCTGGTGTGAATCATCTAATAGGAACAGGAGGAGTGCACATATACCATCCCACTGAGATTGTAACTGGCAAAAAAACACGTCTGTCTCTTTAATAACTCCAGGAGTATAAGAAGAAAATAATTAGATTTTTTTTTAAGAAAATCTTTTAAGAATATGAAGTGTATAATTTCCTTGTAATGTTTATAGCGTTGTCTTATTACCCACAGAACAGACACAGCAGCTGAGCTGGAACTGCTCTGTCGTCTTGCCAAGGAAGCTGGAGCATTCAGTGCAGTGAAGTGCACCCACTGGGCAGAAGGTGGCAAGGGTGCCGTAGAGCTGGCTAAGGCTGTACAGACAGCATCCGTGTCACCCAGCCAGTTTAAAGTTCTTTATGATTTGGAGGTAAGGATCAATTGCTATCCATTGATTCTATGTCTGCCTGTGACCACAGGTAGTATTCCACCTGAAACGTTACAATTATTTAGCATTTCTGAGACTCTGTGCGACTAATTTGCTTTATTTCCAGTGTAGCAGAAAAGGCATGTGCTTTCTTGCACTGTTCATTCTATAATATAGAGAATATAGAAGAGCTGCAAGCCCCTTTTGGTTCTAAAGGAAAAGATAGTGTTCACCTTGACAGAAAAAAGGAAAAGGTGAACTAACACCATACACCCTCCCCACCCCCTGGGTCACCGTTATACTTACCTCCTAAGATGCTGAGCTGTCAGTGCTCACACAGCTGGTCCAGCAATCTGGGGATATGAAATCCCTGCTCTTTTTTGTACAGCGCTTCAGTCAAGATCTGGGCCAGGCTCCATGACAGTGCTGAACAATCAGAAGTAATGCTTAAAAAGTATACAATATATTTTACATGGGGGTGGCCATAATTGCATACTACATATGCAGGCTCTGCCTCCTGTTTTGCAATGCTACACAGTGGTTGCGCTTTACTGCTTCTTCTCATATTTGAGTCAGCAGGTTCTTTAAAAGCAGAGTACTCCCTAATGGCTGATAACATATATCTAATACTGTTAAAGCATATCTAAACCCAAGAACAAAAATGTAATATATTGCAGCTTAGAAAGCCTTAGATTAGTTGGCTGCATTCATTTTTTCAGGCTTTTGGTTCTTTTCACCAGGTGATCCTGTTAATATACTTCCTGTCCCTTCATGGCTACTCTGATTTCTCCACTGTATCTATAGAAGGAGCCATAGTTGTCACCCAGGTTGGACTTCAAACATAGAAGTTGTATTGTATCCATTGCACTCATAGTGAATTGGTGGATGGCACTACCATGCAGTCATAGGATGAGGATCTTCACTAGCTGGCACCCTGGTATGGTGACAATCTTGCGCTTTATTCACTTAAAGCAACAGGTATCACAGGCCAGCTTTTAGGGCCTCACAGGATGACTTTGCTTCAAATAGGGATCCTGCAAGATCCTAAAATGTCATTCTGTGATTCCTGTTGCTCTGTGAATAAAAGACAAGATCATCACTATACAAAGGTGTGCTGGTGAAGATTCTTATGTTCCTTTGGACTTCAAGCATGTTTGTCTTTATTCATCTCCATTACATGGTGCATTGATGGGAAAAGTAGTTACACAAAGATAAGGATGTTCTTTTCAGCTCACAGTAAGGGACAGGGACAACTGCATTTCTGGCAATATCAACAGGTATATTCTGTACTTGCCAAAAATGTGCTTAGAAAACAAATGCAGACACCACATCTAAGGACTGGTAAGCTGCAAACTATTACATTTATGTTTTTGGGCTTAGATACCCTTTAAATGAACCATTTTAAAGAAAGGGAAGGTGTGCTTAGATAACAGGTTTTTATAACCTATATTAAAAACAGTTGTTAAAAAGCGCAGCGGTTTATGAAGAAATGAAAAACATTCAGTGGGTATAGAAAAGAATCACCCCCACTAAAATCACATTTTGTTGCTTTGCAGCCTGAAATGAAGACAGACACAGTTTTTGTTTTATTAAGCTGTATTTACTCAGTGCAACTTATAATATCCAAGCGAAATATATAACACAAAATAATTATACAGAAAACCTGCGCTTGGGAATTTAAAATAAAAATAGCAGCTAACACAAATAGGCAGAAATAAACTAAAAACACTCAGTGTAGCGCTTAAGCCAATAGTTGACAATATAGAATAATAGTGTCCAAATCCCCACAAAAGTGGGATAATTATAAATCAGTATAATACATTAACAAAAGTTATAAAAAGTCCACATGATCTAGTAGTAATGGTGCTAAGTGAGAAAAAAACCAGCGGGAGAGAGAGAATCCGTTAGCTTTCACCCCAATCATTTGGCCTCTTACTGGAAAATTTGACCACACAAAGGATTGGTCAAATAACGCAGATATCAAGCCCAGCAGATGAGTCAAGGACTCCCAAATAAATCTCCCAAAAAATCCGGATGATGTAAAAACTTCCCACTGAGCATGGAGGTCTAGAATGGCAAATACTTCTCCACGCAGTAAACACCACATAGGGAAAAAGTATAACCGCTCATAATGTAGTAGTTAAAATAAAAGATGAAATTTATTCAAGAAATTCACTTACAATCACAGAGGTAAAAATCAGCATGTCTGTATAGTGTTTCCAACCAACAAGATGGCCGCGGTCCGTGGCGGTGACATCACGTGTCTTGGCTCCATCCTAGGCGTTTCATCACACAGGACGTCGTCAGGGGCGTGGTCGACACGCGATGTCACACCAAATAAATAGAAACAGGAGGCCACCCCATCAGACCTCAATTGTGCTCCAAATACCGGAACCACAACTGCTTCCTGTCCACTGGTTGTGGTTCCGGTATTCGGAGCGCAATTGAGGTTGGGTGGGGTGGTGTCCCGTTCCTATTTATTTGGCACGATGACGCATGTTGACCACATCCCTGACAACCTCCTCTGTGTGACGAAACATGTTGGGTGAAGCCACGACGCGTGATGTCACCGCCACGGACCGCGGCCATCTTGTTGGTTGGAAACACTATACAGACATGCTGATTTTCACCTCTGTGATTGTAAGTGCATTACTAGAATAAACTGCATCTTTTATGTAAACTACTACAGTACAACACTATGAGCGTTTATACTTTTTCCCTATGTAGTGTTTACTGCGTGGAGAAGAATTTGCCATTCTAGACCTCAGTGCTTAGGAGGAAGTATTTACATCATCCGGATTTCTTGGGAGATTTATTTGGAAGTCCTTGACTCATCTGCTGGGCTTGATATTTGCATTATTTGACAAATCTTTCAGGTAATCAAATTTTCCAGTAAGAGGCCAAATAATTGGGTGTGAAAGGTGACGGATTCTCGCTCTCCTTCTGGTTTTTGGCTCACTTAGCACCATTACCACTGGATCATGTGGACTTTAATATAGACTTTATTTAATGTATTATACTGATTTATAATTATCCCACTTTTGTGGGGATTTGGACACTATTATTCTATATTGTCAACTATTGGCTGAAGCGCTACACTGAGTGTTTTTAGTTTAAAGATATAACACAACATGTCAGAAAAAAATAAATCAAAAACAGAATAACTGCATTGAAAAAAGAATCACCCCCTTGTGTCAGTATTTTGTTGAACCCCCTTTTGCTTTAATTCCAGCCTTTAGTCTGTTGGGATCTGTCTCTACTAACTTTGCACATCTAGACTTTGCAATATTTGCCCGCTCTTCTTTGCAGAATTGCTCAAGTTAAGTTTGATGGTGACCATTTGTGGACTGCAGTCTTCAAGTCATTCCACAGATTTTCAATGAGGTTTAAGTCTGGGCTCTGATTAGGCCATGCAAAGAAATTCACTTTTTTCTCCTTCAACCACTGTGTGGTCATTTTTGCTGTGTGATTTGGGTCATTGTCATGCTGGAAGGTAAATCTTCTACCCATTTACAACTTTCCGGCAGAGGGCAGCAGATTTTGCTCAAGAATCTGACAGCATTTTCCCCCATCCATTTTTCTTCTATCCTGACAAGTGCTCCAGTCCCTGCTGCAGAGAACCCCCCCTTCATAAGAGGATATTACCTCCTCCATGCATTACTGTAGGAATGGTGGTATTTGGATGGTGAAGCTGTATTGGATTTTCACCAGACATACTTTTTAGTGTTGAGGCCAAATCATTAAATTTTAGTCTCATCTGATCATAACGCCTTTTTCCATGTGGCCTCAGAATCTTCAAGGTACGTTTTGACAAAGCTCAGTCGTGACTGCATGTGGCCTTTCTTGAGAAGTGGCATTTTTCTTGCAACCCTCCCATACAAGCCACATTTATGGAGAATTTGTGATATTGTTGTCACATGCACACAATGACCACTCTGTCATAAATCCCTGCAACTGCTTCATAGTTGCTGATGTTTTGTGTTGTACCAAATACCTTCCACTTAATAATAGACTTCACTGTGCTTCTAGGCATTGATAAAGCCTTTTAATTTTTTGTATCCCTCTCCTGACTTGCGCCTATCCACAACTTTATTCTGGAGATGTTTTGACAATGCCTTGCCACCCATAGTTGATTACTTGCTTCAGTTGCACTACCAGGGACTGAAATGCTGAAGGAGAGCCCTTATACTGAGCTATTCAAAATGACAACAGCTGATCACCGTTGAAAGTCAAATGGATTTTGTGCCACTTATAAGGTGATTAGCTACACATGATTGGGTTTGAAAGTCATTTTCAGGAGGCGTTGATCCTTTTTCCAACTCGGTGATTCTGTTTTTGGATGTTTCATTTTTTTCTGCCATGTTGGTGTTATATCTTTCACTTTGATATACAATGGACTGAGTAAATACAGCTGGATAAAACAAACTGTGTCTGTCTTCATTGCAGGCCTCAAAGCAACAAAATGTGATTATTTTAATGGGGGGTGATTCTATACCCACTGTATCTCAGAATCTGGCTTACAACTTTTCTGGGAGGCTCTATCTCTTTTCCTCATCATTGCATGCTGGGAGAGTTGGGTGCTCGAAATCTCACGTTGGTGTGGTCTGTCATAGTGCAATAGTACATTGTAGCAGGATTTCACACACCAGCTCTCCAAGTATGCAGTAGTGAGGCACAGTGATGCCACCTGTACCTCCCGAAAGCAATGAAATCCAGGTTCTGAATTATTTGTTTCTTAAAACCCAGCTCCAGGAACCACTTCTCACACTGCAAGCTTTATTTGCTTGTTAAGTCTAGGGACGTAGGAATTTTCATGGAAGCTCTGCTTTAGGAAGAGCACTTGAATGAGGTTGAATAAAAACTCCCTCTAGTGGTTAACCCACAGATCTCATTATTTAATACAACCATAAAATATGGAATAGCAAGAATTAAAAAAAAAAATGTGAAAGTCACAAGAAAAAACACTTTAAAGGATAAGTGCAATAAGAGATATTGAAGAGCTGCTGTGTGGAGCCAGGCACAGCAACGAATGTTGGAGAATGATAGTTTAAGTATGTATTCTGCTTAAAAAAAATAGAAGTAGTACATTAAAACACACTTATTCTTTAATGACACCACTGCAGCGATAACTCATACTATGTACCCACTAGAAATACTCTATACTTTCTTTTAAATTGGAAACAGACAGAGCTGAGTCACATTAATGTGTTTTGCTTCCTAGCTTCCTATTGCTGATAAGATCAGGATAATTGCACAGAAGATATATGGTGCAGATGATATTGAACTGCTCCCTGAGGCACAGAAAAAAGCTGATTTATACACTAAACAGGTAAGGGAGGACACCGATTCTCCACCAGTAATACTTGTGTTGCCTGGGGTGCTGCTTAAGATTTAAGAAGCACTTTCTTTTATTGTGTTAAAATCACAATACCAATTTAAAGGTTTCTATCTTTTAAGAACACGTTGCTTTCCTAGAACTATGAATATATATTATAAATCCTAGCTAGGTCACCAGCATTCTAAATTACCACTGGCATTTAATATCTTTGAGCGTTTAACATAATGAATAGAATAATACGTTTTCTGACTGTTGAAGTGTCAGAGAAGAAAGCATGCAGTATCTCTCGGCAATGCAGACACATTTCCCCATTTGTATCCCTTTGAAAATCTGCAAGTATGGAAGAATACCTGCTGATCTTTTAGAAATGTACTCATCTCCTAAGTCTTGTTGTGGGCTGACAGCACATTTTTGTGGATTGAGTGGTGTCAGTCCTGCCCAGTTGTCTTTTGGTCAAACCATTGCACTGTCATATCTACAGCATGGAGACTAATTATTCTGTAGTCCAAGATAAGAACTAAGAGGCTGTTACTTTCCTTGACATAACACAAGAAATGTGCACGGGACAGCTCTGGATTTTCCGAAATTAAGAAATGTAAAATTTTTACTTTTCTTTTTTTTTTTTTTTTTTTTTTTTTTTTGCATGTTGCACTTTTTTTTTTTTTTTTCAGTGGTATACATCCATACTTCGGGTTACGAACGCCTCGGTTAAAGTACTTTTCGGTTTACGAATGAAAATCCATTGAAAATAATGGCTCGGTTTACAAATTGTTTTCGCAATACGAACAGATTAATTGGTTTTCAATGCATTAACGTTTTTTTTTTTTTTTTTTTATGATGTCCCTGTACAATACTATGCCTTTAAAGTGCACTTTATAAAGATTTTTTTGAGCAGATAAGACTTTTTTTTTTTTTTTTTACATTTTTCTGACTTCCGGAACTGATTAATTGGTTTTCAATGCATGTACAAATTTTTTTCTAATCATGTCCCTTTATGCCTTTAAAGTGCACTTTATAAAGAGTTTTGAACAGAGAAATCTTTTTTTGACTTTTTTCAGACCTCCGGAACAGATTAGTTGGTTTTCAATGCATTCCTATGGGAAACCACGTTTCGGTTTACAAATTTTTCGCTATACTAAAAGTGCTGCAGAACGAATTAAATTCGTAAACCGAGGTACACCTGTATTTAATAGACCAAAAGATCCCAACTGAGGGAAGCTAATTGCAAGGGTTTACTAGCCCGTTAAATTACTTAGACTAGCTTTTGAATTTTACAAGAATAAAGATGGACCTGACAATGGTTGCACTCTTTGAGGAATTTTAAATAAAACAACACTCACCAAGGGTACTTGGTAAACACTTTAACGTGGTATATAGCTGTCCTTTTAAACTTCGACCTACAAGTTAGCTTATGATAAGTGGGACCTATGGTTATCTTGGAAAGCACCTAAATCTGTGCTGCTTAGTTGATATTGTCATCGGCTCAGGTAGATGACATCAGTGATGCATGCAGAGTGAACTGCATTCACAGTACACTGAGTATGCCATGATTGCAGAGATCGCCGTGTTCCATTGGTGACTTCCTCATGCATACATGGGAGTGACGTCATCGCGTCCTGGCCCTTCAAGCTGTTGGAGAGCGCGAATTTGGAAGGTAAACCAAATGAGGAGGCACCAAGTAGAGTCCGTGCTCTGTAGCTATGTGTGTGGCATGGTGGTGGGGGGTTCTTCCATCAGCTCTCAGGCTTTGATTTTTTGTCTAAATTTTAGAAGCTCACAGCAGGAATTGGATTGGTTTTTAAAACCACTGCCACACCGTGCCACAGATATTTATTGAAGGAAGCTGTTTTTCTGGCAAATAATTTGTAGTCTTTAGTTTTACAAAGCCATTTCAGACAGTACAGCTGCATGATGACCTAATGTCTGTCTTACAGCAACACAACTAGGTCTCCTCCCTGTCCTCAGCCTGTGAATGGACAGCGAAGGAGCAGCAACAGGCTGATATGGTCATCACTCTGCTCTCTTCTCCTGTCAGCCTGTTCCTTGTTTTTACTTGTGCATGCAGACAATTTGATTGGCCCCAAGTACTGCTCTTCCCTCTACCAGTCTTATCTCTGCTGTACAAGGGATTACAGGAGGCTGATACTAAAGCATTTGATTGGCCTCAAGTACTGCCCTTCCCTCTCCCAGTCTAATCTCTGCTGTACATGAGATTACAGGAAGCTGATACTAAAGGATTTCATTGGCCCCAAGTACTGCTCTTCCCTCTCCCAGTCTTATCTCTGCTGTACAGGGGATTAAGGAGGCTGATACTAAAACAAATGAACTCATTTAGACTATTTTCAATTAAAAATTCAACAATGTTATCTAAATACATAGCATATTTTTGTTTTCATTTGTGCCTGGAATTTAAAGTGACTCCATTCATGTTCAGTGTATAGTGCCAATGGAATGTTGTCACCGGTGCCAAGTGCTTACCTTCCAGAGCTTTCCAGAAGCCCCAAAACCTGGGATGCTCCAAAATGCCAAAACCAACATCCACTATGGAGTCCTTGTTTGCCCCTCTGCCTCACCATTGGTCATTGAAGTATCTGTTGTCACTGATGGGCCAGTTATGAAGCCCAGAAATTAGGAGAGGGTGGGAGCAAGCCACAACGTCCTACATACAGAAAGCTTTGGATTTTGGAGCTCCTGGGATGCTGTGCAAGGTAACTGCTGAATGCCTGTGCCAACATGCTGATGACATTTTACACCAGAACAAGCAAGCACAGAGGCTCCGTTCACATCAGTACATGTTTAGATGTTGAGTTTAGGGTAGCACATTCATTTCAGGGGGCTGTCGCCAAAAGCACAAAAGAAGGCAGGCACCTTGTTTTTTTTGTTTTGTTTTTAGGCTTCATGCACACTGGCTTTAAAGTGATTTTTTGTTTTTTAAGAAAAAAATAACACGCCTATGCTTACCTGCTGTGTGCAGTGGTTTTGCACAGAGCAGCCGAGATCATCCTCTACTCGGGTCCTGCGCCAGCGCTCCTGGCCCCTCCTGCCTGTGGGTGCCCCCACAGCAAGCAGCTTGCTATGGGGGCACCTGCTGCTCTGTGCGTCCATTTACACATGGAGCTGTGGCTCTGCCCCGCCCCCCCTCTTCTTATTGGCTCACTGGCTGTGATTGACAGCAGTGGGAGCCAATGTCTCAGCCAATGAAGAGAGGAGTCCCGGGATAGCTGAGACTTGAGTGCACATCGCTGGATCGAGAGGGGGTTTAGGTGAGTATTGGGGGGGATGCTGCATACTTAGGTGAGTATTGGGGGGGGATACCTTCACTCACCTTTTAGGTGAGCATTCGGTGGGATACCTTCATGCATAGAATGTATGAAAGTAAAAAACCTTTAGCATTTAGAACACTTTAACCACCACCCGTCCGGCCGTAGTATATAAACGGCCGGACGGTGGCAGTGCAGGGTGGGGTGGCCATTTATAAATGGCCTCCCTGCTTGTGCGCAGTCCCTGGGAGCTCGCAGCACCATGATCCTGTGCCCGCTGTGTCCTCCGGACACAGTGGAACACCGGTCACAGAGGTCCCGATCATGTGATCACCGATTGACCAATCAGTGATCACATGCAGAGTAGTAAGCAAGATGTCACTTCTGACATCATTGCTTACTACGTGTGGAATCTGTGAATGATCACAGAGGTCACATGGTACAAGGCTATTCACAACAGCCTTGTACCATGTGACAAGCTGTGACCAATCACAGCTCACACAGTAGTACTCAATGGCTGCAAGAATGCAGCCAGAGAGAAGGAGAAATGATTGCTTTTACATCCTTTTATGGGTGTAAAAGCAATCAGTATAAAAAAAAAAAAAAATCATCACCCCCCACAAGTAGTACAGTGTCACCATAGTGACACTGTACTGCTTGGGTGACTGTGTAAAAAATAAAATAATGTTTAAAAATTATAATTTTTGGTTATAAACTAATTTGGGTAATTGTTTTTTTAACTAAAAAGATAACGGAATACATTTTGGCTAAGATTTATGATGAAATATTATTTATTTACAAAATTTTATAAGAAAAACACTTTTTTTCAAAATTTGTGGACATTTCATTTACATAGCAAAAAAAAAATCCCAGCAGTGAATAAATACCACCAAAATAAAGCTTTATCTGGCTCAAAAAAAGGCTAAAAAAGTCATATGGGTACAGTGTTGCATGACTGCGCAATTCTCATTCAAAGTGTGATAGCACTGAAAGCTGGAAATTGGTCTGGACAGGAAGGGGGTAAAAGTGTCTGGACTTGAAGTGGTTAAAAACGCCAGTGCTCTTGGAAGAAAACATTTTTTAGTTTTTTTTTGTACTAGCATTTAGATGCATTTAACCTTTTTTTCTGCCTCTAAATGCTGAGTTTAAACTATGCCTCTAAACATCCAAATGTGCATGGACACATAGGATAACATCGGCTGTTTCTACAGGCAAAATGATAAATGGACCCTAAAAATTGCATCACACGACAACATATGGTAATAAACCTCAAGTTACCATGCGTTGTGTTGCGATTCAGCACACATGCGTTGACTGGTGCATTTGGGGTGCCAAAAGGAATGAATGGCATAGAATCTGCAGGAACATAGTGCATTTTCATGTGCCGTGGTTACCCATGCAATATCGCTTATATTCCCACATTGCATAAGTGTGAACCGAGTCTGTGAAGTCTGTGTATGTGGTCAGGTATGACTCGTAATGTGCAAAATGAGCAATGATGATTGGGCAAGCACACTCACCATATTCACAACTACATGAAGCTTTTTTTTTTTTTTTTTTTTTTTACGTATTTATTAACTTTGTATTCTATTCTTTTATCTGAAGGGCTTTTCCAATCTGCCAATCTGCATGGCCAAAACGCATCTCTCCTTGTCTCATAACCCAGAGCTGAAAGGCGCCCCAAAAGGCTTTGTCTTGCCCATCCGTGACATCAGAGCCAGCATTGGAGCTGGGTTTCTATATCCATTAGTTGGAACGGTAAGAGGGTATTATTTATATGTCAATATGACCTTTAAAAGATGGGACACGTTGAAAAGCTGGACAAGTACATGGTACGGGGTCACTATGGCAACTAAATTAATGCTTGTTAGTGGATTATGCCAGTCAGAAGGGCAGTGTAGCTTTGACATACAGTATCTCTTGCTGATCTGGCAGTGTCTGTATGTATTGCTTGGACATCATTTATCTTTGTCACCCCAGGTGAAAGCAATGGGTAATCAAGGGCATGCAAACCTATATAAATTATATGCTATATATAGTGTGTGAGTGAGAGAGATATAGATACACACAGACATACATATATATATATACAGTCAGGTCCATAAATATTGGGACATTGACACAATTCTAACATTGTTGGCTCTATACACCACCACAATGGATTTGAAATGAAATGAACAAGATGTGCTTTAACTGCAGACTGTCAGCTTTAATTTGAGGATATTTAAATCCAAATCAGGTGAACGGTGTAGGAATTACAACAGTTTGCATATGTGCCTCCCACTTGTTAAGGGACCAAAAGTAATGGGACAGAATAATAATCCTAAATCAAACTTTCACTTTTTAATACTTGGTTGCAAATCCTTTGCAGTCAATTACAGCCTGAAGTCTGGAAGGCATAGACATCACCAGACGCTGGGTTTTATCCCTGGTGATGGTCTGCCAGGCCTCTATTGCAACTGTCTTCAGTTCCTGCTTGTTCTTGGGGCATTTTCCCTTCAGTTTGGTCTTCAGCAAGTGAAATGCATGCTCAATCGGATTCAGGTCAGGTGATTGACTTGGCCATTGCATAACATTCCACTTCTTTCCCTTAAACTCTTTGGTTGCTTTTTGCAGTATGCTTTGGGTCATTGTCCATCTGCACTGTGAAGCGGCGTCCAATGAGTTCTGAAGCATTTGGCTGAATATGAGCAGATAATATTGCCCGAAACACTTCAGAATTCATCCTGCTGCTTTTGTCAGCAGTCACATCATCAATAAATACAAGAGAACCAGTTCCATTGGCAGCCATACATGCCCACGCCATGACGCTACCACCACCATGCTTCACTGATGAGGTGGTATGCTTAGGATCATGAGCAGTTCCTTTCCTTCTCCATACTCTCCTCTTCCCATCACTCTGGTACAAGTTGATCTTGGTCTCATCTGTCCATAGGATGTTGTTCCAGAACTGTGAAGGCTTTTTTAGATGTCGTTTGGTAAACTCTAATCTGGCCTTCCTGTTTTTGAGGCTCACCAATGGTTTACATCTTGTGGTGAACCCTCTGTATTCACTCTGGTGAAGTCTTTTCTTGATAGTTTACTTTGACACACATACACCTACCTCCTGGAGAGTGTTCTTGATCTGGCCAACTGTTGTGGAGGGTGTTTTCTTCACCAGGGAAAGAATTCTTCGGTCATCCACCACAGTTGTTTTCCGTGGTCTTCCGGGTCTTTTGGTGTCGCTGAGCTCACCGGTGCATTCCTTCTTTTTAAGAATGTTCCAAACAGTTGTTTTGGCCACGCCTAATGTTTTTGCTATCTCTCTGATGGGTTTGTTTTGTTTTTTCAGCCTAATGATGGCTTGCTTCACTGATAGTGACAGCTCTTTGGATCTCATCTTGAGAGTTGACAGCAACAGATTCCAAATGCAAATAGCACACTTGAAATGAACTCTGGACCTTTTATCTGCTCATTGTAATTGGGATAATGAGGGAATAACACACACCTGGCCATGGAACAGCTGAGAAGCCAATTGTCCCATTACTTTTTGTCCCTTAACAAGTGGGAGGCACATGTGCAAACTTTTGTAATTCCTACACCGTTCACCTGAGTTGGATGTAAATACCCTCAAATTAAAGCTGACAGTCTGCAGTTAAAGCACATTTTGTTCGTTTCATTTCAAATCCATTGTGGAGTATAGAGCCAAAAATGTTAGAATTGTGTCGATGTCCCAATATTTATGGACCTGAATATATATATATATATATATATATCATATTGTGGAATAGTTGAACAGAATTTTGTGCTTAACATTATCTTTACATTTCCTCTTCCATGTGTCCATTTCGGCCGCAGGTGAGGCTGCAATGGGTTTCCTAATTCGATTAGTAATAGGAAGCGAGCTTTGTAAGGAAATGCATCCATTTCAAAACAGAACTTTATGAACATGTTTTTCCTAAGCGCCTGTATGAGAGCAGTTGTTATCAAGAACACTGCTACTGTCATGACTATTTTGGAAGCTACAGAACTGCAGTGGTGTATCCAGTTCTTGTGTGTGAAAGGATTTTTGTCTGCAGGTGTTGGTAGACATTCTAGAGGAAAAAGGACTGCAGCATTACTAGGAGTGATAACATAATAAAGATCTAATTATTTTTTATATAGCTTCAGCATGTTCATCACATTGAGAATTCACACTACGTCTTTATTGATACATATAAATGACACTAACCCTCTGCTTGTGTTTTGTAGATGAGCACAATGCCTGGTCTCCCAACTAGACCGTGCTTCTATGACATCGATCTGGATCCTGACACAGAGCAAGTAAATGGACTGTTCTGAAATGTCGAGTCTGGGATACTAAATGGTGAGGTTGTAGGGTTGTACCTGCCCATTATCTTTCTATGCAGTATAACATTTTCTATAGCACATAAAGGAAACCTGTACTTAGAGGAACATGGAGACTTGGTAAGCTATAAAAATGAATTGTTTGTCAATACCAGCCTTTTTTTCAGCAATGAGAGACTAGGAAATCCTGAAACTAATGATCCCATGACTGAAAATAAGAATAATTATGGAAAATAACACATGCTTTGTAGCTCAGTGAATTAAGTTGTGAATTGAAGTCCAGTTCTAGATTCAGCTTCTTTTAACCGTTGTAAGTCCTTAATCTTTGCTAATAACAGTATAGCTGCTTTCACTGCAGAACTTTCCCATTTCCCACTTTCCCATTCTGTAGAGAGTCCATTCTGCCACCACACAACTTCTGGGCTGAATGAGGCCCAGTGTTATCCAAGGCCTTTCTCTGTACCCTAGACCAGTGGTTCCCAACCTGGGGTACACATACCGGCTAGGGGTACATATCAGGACATTTAGGGGTATGCAAAATAGAGAATGAATAGTAGCAGAAAGAGGCAGCGGTGTACCTGTGACTGTAAAGTGTCGCTTGGTTGCCATAGCTGGAAGCTTGCCAGGAATCACCCAGTAATAGACTTTTTTGATTGGACACTGGGTCTCTGGCGTATATGCAGCCTGGCTGTGTGAAGGTTTGTTCAACATTAGTGACGTCAGTGTTTTACGCACAACCCACAAATCACTTCCCTGTCTGGAGAGAGAAGGAGGGAGGGTGATTACATGACTGCAAACTTGGAACCCTTTTGCAGGTTAGATAAAGTTATTAAAATAAAGGCGATCAAAGAGTAGGCAGAAACCAGAGTCAGCACTTTTCTTGGATTCCGGAATTTGGTTTTAAAAAACTTTAATTCTGCATGTATAGTTAGTCCATCTGTTGACCTGTGTGCCACTGACATTGTGAATGAAACTCCCTGTTTTGTGCTTACATTTCAACACAGAAAAAGTTGGAAATTACAGAATACACTAATTTCTGATTTTGTCTCTGCTTACTTGCAGTGTTTTAATGCGGGATGATCAGCTCTCAAGCCATGGACTAGCTGCAATTGAAATGCTGCTGTAAAATCTTTGTACTTTACCTTTCTATAAAAGGTCTTCTAGTGTTTTTTTTCTCACGGGCTTTGCAAATCTGTCTGTCTAGAAAATAAATATATATTTTACAAAAAGTTTTGTGTTGTGTTATGATTGTTTATATTTTAACTGGTGCTGGTTAAGTTGAAAAATGTAATGGGCCTTACATGCATCTCCTGACCTCACCAAAGGGCCACACATTATATTCAGCTTATGTAATGCTACAGCCCTGGCCAAATGGCCGGAATTGTTGAGAATGACACAAATATTAATTTACCTGCAAGGAAACCCATGCAGTCATTATTGCTTTGCACAAAAAGTGATTCACAGGCAAGGATATTGCTACTGCACCTATTGCACCTAAGATTGCACCTAAATCAACCATTTATTGGATCATCAAGAACTTCAAGGAGAGAGGTTCAGTTGTGAAGAAGACTTCAGGGTGACCAAGAAAGTCAGGAAGTGCCAAGAAGTGCCAGGACTGTCTCCTAAAGTTGATTCAGCTGTGGGATCGGGGCACCACCAGCGCAGAGCTTGCTCAAGAATGGTAAGTGTGGGTGCATCTGCATGCACAATGAATTGAAGACTTTTGTAGGTTGGCCTGGTGTCAAGGGCAGCAAAGGAGCCACTTCTCTCCAGAAAAAACATCAGGCACAGACTAATATCCTGAAAAAGCTACAGGGATTGGACTGCTGAGGACTGGGGTAAAGTCATTTTCTCTGATGAACCTCCTTTCTGATTGTTTGGGGCATCCAGAAAAAACCTTGTCCAGAGAAGAAAAGGTGAGCGCTACCATCAGTCCTATGTCATGCCAACAGTAAAGCATCCTGAGACCATTAATGTGTCTCAAGAACACAGCCATGTGTAAAGAATGGTGCAAAAACATCCTCCAAGAGCAACTTCTCCCAACCATCTAAGAACAGTTTGAAGATGAACAATGCCTTTTCCAGCATGATGGAGCACCTTGCCAGAAGGCAAAAGTGATAACTAAGTGGCTTGGGGAACAAAACATGGAAATTTTGGGTCCATGGCCAGGAAACTCCCTAGGCTTTAATCCCATTGAAAACTTGTGGTCAATCCTCAAGAGGCAGGTGAACCAAAAAAAATCCCCACAAATTCTGACAAACTCCAAGCATTGATTATGCAAGAATGGGCTGCCATCAGTCAGGCTATAGACCAGAAGTTGATTGACAGCATGTCAGGGCGAATTGCAGAGGTCTTGAAAAACAAGAGTCAACACTGCAAATATTGACTATTTGCATAAAATTAATGTGATTGTCAATAAAAGCCTTTGACACTTATGAAATGCTTGTAATTATACTTCAGTATACCATAGCAACATCTGACAAAAAGATCTTAAAACACTGAAGTAGCAGACTGAAAAGTAATATTTGTGTCATTCTCAAAACCTTTGGCCAGGACTGTACAGTGAGCAATTGCAGACATATAGGAGATGGTCAAACCTTGTGGAAAGCATAGGAGATGGTCAAAAACTGCAGACATACCGCAGGAGATGGTCAGAGACTGTGCAAATACTGTAGGATATGGTCAGAAACTAGAAACAAACTACAGGAGATGGCCATACTGCGGACATACTGTAAGAGATGGTCAGCAGTCTGCAGACATAATGCAGGAGATAGTTAAAGAGTCCAGGACAAACAGGGATGGTAATAGACTGAACATACTGCAGGACGTGGTCGTCAAAAACTAGGGACTACAGAAGATGGTCAGAGACTACACACATGCTACTAAAGGAGGTCAGAGACTATGGATGTACTACGGACAAGGGTGAAGACTGGGGACACGATAGAGGAGACGACACCGATTACTGGCTAGGGTAGTCTACTGAAGTACGAGGAGGTGCTGTTGGCCTATAATGTTTATTCATTTTTGGATATGTAGTTCTACGTGCTTATGAGCCATTAAGGTCCAGTATTTTGCCATGTGGCTCATACCAGGTAGAGAGGAGTATAGGAGGTAAGTATTTCAATGTGTATGTAAGGTAAATATGGTAATAGACTTCAACAAATAAAGTGTTTCTACCAGCACAAATTTTATAAACTGCAAAATTAATACAGTAGAATAGATGACAATATTTTGAGCTGATGATCTCAAACTGCCAGTACGTTGTTTTTAATTTGGCGCATTGTAGAACTACTACCTGAATTTGGTTCACAAGTCGCTGACAGAACCAAAAGTGTTTCAAACGTTTCATGAATTTGGTGCAATACAATGACAACCATGCTATTGCCGAATGACGGCGGTTGTCCAGTTCTAGGAGGGCATCATATGACGTCCTCCCAGAACACGCCCCCAGCGGTGCGCACTCGGTTCTGTCTGTGATTGCTGTGTCTTACAAACACAGCTGATCACATGACAAGGTAAAAGGCCAATCACAGCGGCCTTTTACCATGTGATCAGCTGTGTCCAATATCACAGCTGATCACAAAGTAAATACAGTTGCTGGTTATCAGCAGCACTTTCCTCGCTTTGTCACAACGTGAGGGAAGTACTGCTGATAAATGGCAAATGTCACAGAGGACATCTGCACTGATAATCAGGGCACTGACTTGGTGCCCTGATTTTCAGTACAGCCCCAAAAGTGCCCCTGCAGTGCCGCTAGTCAGTGCCACCTATCTGTGCTGCATCATCAGTGCCTCCACATCAATTCCCACCAGTGCAGTCTATCAGTTCTACCTATCAGTGCCTCATCCAATGCACATCAGGGAAGGTGAAAATTTACCTGTTTGCAAAATTTTATAATAAAAATGAAGAAAAACTTTTTTTTTCAACATTTTTTGCTCATTTTTGTTTTATAGTTAAAAAAAAAACCCAGTGGCAATTAAATACCACGAAAAAAAGCTATTTGTATGAACAAAATGATAAAAATGTCATATGGGTACAGTTTGCATGACTGAGCAATTGTCATTCAAAGTGCAACAGCGCTGAAAGCTGAAAATTGGCCTGGGCAGGAAGGGGGTAAAAGTGCCCTGTAGGAGTAAGTGGTTAACAAAAGGAATTAAACACCAGAAAATTGGCACAGCAGTTTTATTAGATCCTCCCCCAATGTGCTTGTGTTTGGGGGTCATCTGACAAACTTTCTCCGGCCACTAGACCCAAAAAAAAAACAATCTTACTTTCATCAGTCCACAAAATGTTGCGCCATTTCTCTTTAGGCCAGTCAATGTGCTCTTTGCCAAATTGTAACCTCTTCAGCACGTCTTTTTTTCAACAGTAGGACTTTGCGGGGGCTTCTTGCAGATAGCTTGGCTTCACATAGGCGTCTTCTAATTGTAACAGTACTCACAGGTAACTTTAGACCTTCTTTTATCTTCCCGGAGCTGATTGTTGGCTGAGTCCTTGCCATTTTGGCTATTCTATCCATTTGAATGGTAGTTTTTCGCTTTTTTCTACGTCTTTCAGGTTTTGGTTGCCATTTCAAAGCATTTGCGATCATTTTAGCTGAGCAGCCTATCATTTTCTGCACTTTATATGTTTTCCCCTCTCCAATCAACTTTTTAATCAAGGTACGCTGTTCTTCTGAACAATGTCTGGAATGACCCATTTTCCTCAGAATATCAGAGAGAAATGCACTGTAACCAGCATGTACAACATTTGCTGCCTTCCTTCCCTAAATAAGGGCAATAATTGCCACCTGTTTTTCAAAGAATGAATGACCTCACTAATAGAACTCCACACTGCTATTATTTTGAACATGCCCCTTTCAATTAGTGATTCAATGACACAGAATGAGCAGCATGCATGTCATGACTGTTGGGTCTGTTGGATTTCTATTACTCTACTACACCTGCTAGTAAATTATTTGCCATGTAGAAATATCATTTCTACCAAAAACAGTG